TTTTTTATTCCAACCATGATTGTTATAACAATTTTATTTTTATTTTATTCTGTACTAATATGTTTGTACTAATATGTTTAATTGCTTTAATACCCTTGAATACTCTCCTGCCAGGAGTCCACTGTCACAGGACTTTATTTTTGCATGGAATGCTTCTAGGCTTTGTCCAAAACGTCTGCGTGATCATCTACAGTCACTAGACAATCAGATATATCCCGGAATGCTTTGCGAGTAGAGCTCTCCTTGCAAAGCATTATGGGACTTGCAGTCACTGAGGAACGTTGTTGCCATAGACTGTCACTACCCAACTGTGGCAACAAATAGCAATTCTGTAACAGTTTCTTCCCCTCAGCCATCAGACTGCTGAACTGTTGAAAAACTCAAAATCATGACACAGACTCTGCATCCAACTAATAACACCAAACCAAAACTGTTTTTCGCACCATGTTTTTTTTTTCTCCCACATTGTTTACATTTGATCACTGCTGCAGGAATGGAACGTTTCATTTACTGTCTGAAAAGCTCTTCCAACAAAGATTTCATTTTGCAAACACTGTGTATATTAAATGAAAAGGAAAGTTGTCTAAGTCTATAACAAAGATGGGGCAGGCACTGTGCGGGGAGTCAAAGTCACGTTAACAACAGGAAGCGAAAAGTTGTGATCATCTGTCTGAACAGTCAGTTAACTGAGTTCACTATAAAGTCCACTATAAAGTCCCCACTCTATGTAGTGAATAAGGGATTTAGGGGTTAGGGAGGACATTTGGACACAGCCCTTGTTTTCTAGAAGACTACTTTTAGTTAGATGAATGAATCTGCGTGCTACCTACAACCGAGATAATCTACATTACTTCCTCCTAAAGGGCTGGACTGAAAAAAAATTAGCATCTTAATAATGTTAAATGGAATGCCTCTACGATTTAGAATTGTGTGTTTTTTTTTTTTTAAAGAAATTTGTCTGTTATGTAAATTTAAATAATAGTCCAACCCTAGCCTTTACTCTGTCAGTGAAAACACTCAAGGAAATCTCATCAAAGTACTTTTCAAAGGGTGCCATTCAAGTAAGTAACACTACTGCTTTCGTCATAAACCTGTAGATTTGTTTACCCTTTACATGCATATTGTTTAAAGTATAAACTTGTTCCTCAAAGGCTGAATGAATGCTAGAGTTTCTCACTGATTTGCAGTGTACATCAGGTCTTTCTCTGATAGGCTAAAGTATTTTAATACTGTTTTCCACATTCATTGCATTTAACCGTCTCTAGCTGGAGAGATATTTTAAAGGTTTTTATAGACAAATCGTTTAATGGTTAGTGAAAACCAAACCAAAACAAAAAAGTTCCCTTGGCATTAAGCCCTCAGATTGTTGTTAGGGTGAAGCGGAAGGAGCTTGTTCAAGGTCGTATTTAACTGAGAACCTCCTCTTTTCGTCACGTTTCTAAGTTTGCTTACTGCCTGTAAGTGTCTTGTTTGGAGTATAAAGTTGTTCCAGAAGGAATTGACTCTGTTTGAAAATGCAGGTCTCAACATCCCGTCACCCAGCTGTAACAGCGCTGCGTAATTTCAATGCATATTCAGGTGGAAGGGTTAATTATTCACTCTGACTGCCTGTATAATTTGATTAAGAACTACTTGAGGCCTACTGTGAGGGTGAATAGATACACAATTGTGATGGAGAAGCACGACATTGGATTGCTTGAAATTAATATTTTCACTCTGAAACATTAATTCAGCGGAGTGCATTGAATTGTAGCTGTGAAAACACTTGGAATTGGAGGGGTCTCCTCCTACGCCCTTGCTTTCTCTCCCTCAGCTTGGCTCAGACCCATGAGTGTGGCCTTTCTCCTGCCGGTTCATGCTCTCCTTCTGCTTCCAGAGCTATCTTGGTGCCAAACTTGAAACCCTACCCCAGCTCTATAAATGACTGTACATCTTAAAGCCCTGACTAAGATCGGGTTTTACCCCCAGTGATGGGGAGTGAAATATTTTAGGCTTAAAGGTTGATGCTATTATTTGAATTTTATGTATTTAAAGCACTAATTTGGGAAAATAGAAGTTCAAAATCTTCTTTACAAATTCTTTAGACAGACTTCATTTGTGTTTATCATTTTTTTTTATGATTTTAAAAGTGGCCTTTGAAAAGGCAATTTTAGAAACTACAACAATATAACTGCTTCCCTTGTAACTGATAAACCACTTTCTTGGGTTAAATTTCACCAACCCTAACCAGCCTAATCTAAAGTTGATTAAAAGTAAAGTTAATGTAAATTATTGTAATAATTCAAGAACAAGTTATAATCACAAAAATTGATTTTTGTTTAAAGAGCTTCAAAGCCATTTGTGTTTAATCTTAACCTGAAGAGTGCCTAATAGGTCTCAGGCTACCTGTATAAATGAAAGTATAATAACTTCTAATAAAAGGAAACTTTTCACTGCATGACCCTTATTCAAAGTCCACTGACAGGAGCACAGCCAAAAGGCTTTAAAAAATGGTTGTGGGTTGGTCTAGTCAAAGTCTAAGCTTGTTTGGTTATGCAGCCCATAAATCTACACACATCCATACGATCAGACATTACTGACAACTGATCAACCGTATTACTTATTGGTTTAGATAAATAGTTTTCTTTCTTAAAATACCACCATCTGGACTAATAAATCCCATCTGATAAAATAAAATTATCATTTTAAAAACGACTTTTTGAGTTTATTTGGGTTATCTTTGTTTGATATAAGAATCATTTTGGTTATCTGAAACATTTCAGTTTGAAACAGAAGTAAAAAAAGAAACTTAAATACCATTTTATGGCAAAGTAAATTTGAAAAATGCTACTACCACTGCTCAGAATACTCATTTGAAAGAAATATTGAGACAGAAAACATTTAAGAAAATAAAGACAAGCTGAGCTATTCCTTATTCCTTTGAATATTAGGAGGAATGTTGGATAGGAAGCATGTTTCTTGGAGGTTTGCTTTTACTTTCAAACAAAAGATTGAAACAAAAAGCTGACCCAAACATGTTGTTTTGTAGATGACTAACTGTATCTAAAGTGAAATTGACCTTTTTTTTAACAGAACAGTCTGGAAAATACCTTAAAATAACAAAGGAGTGTGAAATAATATAAACAATTCAGTGTTATTGTAGCCTAAAGCGAAGCATGGTATAGATTTAAAATTCTCCATAGCTCGAGTGAAAGGAGATTCCTTTGTTCTTCTAAAACACAAAACCATGTTTTGACACAGAAAAGAGATCCCTATAGAGACAGAAAAGCTACTCAGCTTTCTGAGCGCACAGTGGAGTTTCTAACTTACAATTTCTCTGACTCAGACGACTTGTCAATCCACACTCAGTGCTGTTTACAGCTCTGTGCATGTGCTCTCTCTGCAGTACGCCAGCGTGGTGGAGGATGGGGAGCATTACATGACCCCCAGAGACTTTGTGCAGAATTATTTGGGTCTGCACACTCAGCCTCAACACAACCCTAAAACTGTGGAGCTGATAGCTGGAGTGGCCGACACCACCAAAGATGGGTGAGTAAAGGTCTTGTGTTAGAGTGAGATGTTTTATATAATGTTCCTTATTAATAAAAACATTTTATACTTTTAATGTATCCATTGATACTGAGAGAGATGTTTTTTTTGATAGAATAGAATAGACAATCCCTTTATTGTCCCACAATAGGGAATTTCCGGTGTTTACAGCAGCAAAAAGATTATTTAAAAAATGGTCACACAAATGTGGACCTCAGAAAAGTGTATAAGAATAACATAATAGTGAAGACTTAAAAGATTACCAATTAGAAATACTGTACTTTAAAGTGCTTTAACAAAAAAACAAAACAAACACTGTGCACCTGGAGAATACATAACCACTATACAGCTATGGACATTTTTACAGTAATGGATATTTGAAAATAGCAGCAACATCAGAGATGTGCAAAATGACAGCAGCATGTTATTTAACTGACTAAGGTAGAAATTGTGCAAAATCAGCATGAATTAACAACTTATTGAAGTTATAGGGAACATTGGTGGTTTTAGAGTCTTCCAGCTGCTGGGAGGAAGGATCTGTGATAACGCTCCCTGGTGCATTTAGGGAGCATCAGTCTGTCACTGAAGGAGCTCTTCAGTTCAGCAACAGCTTCATGCATGGGGTGGGAGACACTATACAACAGATATATTAATCTAGTTAGGATCCATTTGTTTTGTTCATAACATGCTCCAAAATTATAATTTATTTTTTTTAATGTCAAACTGGATTTTTCATCCTTTTTTTTCTAAAACCTTAAAGCACAAATCAGTTTACTAGTTTCAGTCTTTATGTAAACTCCAGTTTTGTCGAAAAAAATAATAATTTTACCGATTTGTTCAGTGTTTGCTGTACTATCTTCCTGTTTTCTGCATTACTTGATTATTCCATTGTCTCGCTGTTGCTCTGCTTTCATTTGTTGCTTCATCCCACTGCCCAATTTCTTTGAAGCATCTATTGAATCATTGCAGACTGTCCTTGATTTAGTTCTTTATTTGATCACTTCCACAAGTCTTACTTTTTTCAGTCTGAAATTAAGTTCAGCTAATGCTCAATTTTCTTTATCATTTCTGCATCCAGAGGTTTCTATTAGTATGAGCAGAAGCTGCCTTTAAGTTGAATATGAAAGTAATAATTGTAAATAAATGCACATTTATTGAGAGATGTTGTGTCATATCCTATCTTTCATATAACAGATCCTAAAGTTGAAAAGAAGGTTTTATGTTTCAGATTTAAATCCTAAATAGTGACTTTGACATTCAAAGTAAATCCTTCATATGTTAGTTGAACCACATCTTTCTCTGTTTTACATTTGAGCCATTAACTCTACATATATGCTGAAGCAGCGCATCAACATGAGACATATAAAGTGAAAGACTGTGGATGATTAATCTTCTTAAAAAAAGATACATTTTGTTTAATTGGTTTTAAACCCCCTAGGGGTTTTAAACATAAACACAAGATAACATGGCTGAACATGTCATCCTGCACATTGTGTTTAGTTTAAGATAAATGCAACTTGAATGCATCCAATTGCAGGAAATAATGCTGACAAAATCCAGAATGACTGAACCTGATTAGCCTTATGTTATATCTCTTAACTGTTTTTTTTTTTTATGCAACATCTGACACTTTATCTCTAATCAGCCTCCAGTAATCATACAAGCTTTGTTTTTGACGGACAGCATCTTATCCTCTCTGGTAAATGCATGCACCAGGGCTTGCTTGCTCCCTGTTTTCAGAATGTGGCCCCTTTCCTCTGCATTTCCTATACAACAGTCTGCTAACTAATTGATAGAACATCACATTAGGGTAATCAGAATGTCATCAAGAACACTTTAGACAATACTTTGTCCTTAAAATGCTTAAAGAAATGAAGATCTGACATGTTTAATATTTCAGGCAACTGAAAGAGAACCACCTGCTAGTTTAGATTTGTGTTGTATTTTTTTACCTCACAAAAAGGTTTTATTTTTCTATGATAAAATGGTTCAACTTCCTTGTTTGATGTCATTACAGATTAAAAAAAAAAACACATTAAAGCTGGGCTACAGTACCTAGAGCCTGTTGTATAATTATCTGATAAATGAACCTTGGGTTAAAACATTCTAACAATTTCACTCCCCACAGATAAAAACAACATTAGTGTTAACAATTAGTCACTTTAATATTAAATTAATCCTATGTTGTGGGTTTTTTTTTTTTTTTTTTTACCTCTGCTGCCAGTATTGCTAAGTTTATTTGGTTTTATTAAGTTTTTCTTTTTTTGTGACTTGACGTGCAGTAAAGTCTCTAATTTTCTTGTTCTTTTCATTGAGATTGCCTCTGTTCTTTCTCATCCAAACAGATTGATCTCTTTCCAGGAGTTTCTGGCTTTTGAATCAGTTCTCTGCGCCCCGGATGCCCTCTTCATAGTAGCCTTTCAATTGTTTGACAAGAATGGCTCAGGAAACATCTCATTTGGTACGTACATGGTATCGAACCTGCTGAAAGTAGTCCAGACACTGTTTTCATCTTTTATTTTTTGTGCTCTCCAAACCTTATCCCCATCCACACTGCTGTAGGAGCTAGAGAAGCATTTCATACAGCTATTTTTAAGAATGTTAATCCTGTATAATTTTCAGGGTAGTTGAAAGTTTTAAGCAATTTTTTTTGCACATCCTGGAGAGTCTGGAATTTGGTTTAAGCATTTTTAAGATCTTCAAAAGTATAGACAAAGAATTAAAACTGTTCAAAAGTATTTCCAGACTCCATTTGGTGTCCCTAAAAGCTGAACTCTTTCCCTCGATTGTCTTTCTTTGTCTTCCTAATCCCTATGTGTTTTTTTTTTTTTTTGGGCCTTTCTTCCGGTTCAAAGTGTATCCACTGTCTATCTTTCTTTCTAGTTTTTCTTCCTTCCATCCTTACTCACTTACTGCTATCGTCACTTTATTTCTTACCTTTCCTTCCTACTAACTTTCCTTTCTCATGTTCCTTCTCATGTCTTTGTTCAGTCATTCTTTGCTAATTCATTTTCTTCCCAGTGCACATTCTTCCATCCTTTCATCCTTCTTTCTGCTGTCCCTTCCTTTTTTCTTTACCATGCTGTTTTCTTTCCCGTCTTTGTACCTTTTCAAATGTTTCCCCTCGTGACTTTCCCTTTTCTCTACATTTGCTGTCTTTCCCTCTTTACTCTCTGTCTTAAGTCTTTTCTTCTTTCCTTGTCTCTTGTTTTGTTTGTTTCCTCTCCTTCTTGTGTTCTTCCTTTTTGTGACTTAGTGTTGTTTCAAGGTTCAAAAATTAAAGCACAGCCCCTGTAGAAAAATGCTACACTTATTGATTTAAACTGAATTTTTATATGACTCTTATAAGATTCCCAGAAGGGACTAAATGCTCTACAGGTCTGCAATTTCTGCATGAAAAACGAGTAGGGAGTCCTTTTAGTGAAATACTACATTATACCAAGCGCCCTTTTAAACAGGCTCTGCTTAGACTATTTTTTTAGAAAATTAAACATAAATAAAACCAGAGCTTCACTTTTATAAACTTTATAAAATGCATGTCTAATTGGGTCAGTATCTTAATGCTGAAATGGGTTATTTTAAACACAGTTTTTCTTGTACTTTGACTATTACCATTAAAGCTACGTCACATTAACACCATATGGGCACAATAAGTATCTTGTGAAAGGTCACAAGACTCCTTGGCTTCTCTGTTTGACCTTTGGAAGGACAGTGTTAGGTTCTTAAAGGTCCAGGCAGCTCAAAATGAGCTCGTCTTTCAGGCCAAATTGCACAACCGGTGGGGTCGATTCCTGCCTTGATCTGCTTCGTTCCCCAACTCACCAATCTGGTCTGGGGACTCCTTCCACTGCCAAAGCAGAGGTGTGCAGAACCACATCAACTTCAACCACCAGGCCCACCAAGGGAGTCTCACAATTTCATTGGCAAATTTTATGTGATTGGGATCATTAGAAGTTTTGACATTATGACTGCTTGTTGCATTTTTATAATTTTGTTGTTTCATAATCCACTCAATGCTTTCCAGAAAACGTCCGAGACATCTTCAGCCAGACGACAGTGCATCACCACATTCCCTTCAACTGGGACTGTGAGTTCATCAGGCTGCATTTCGGCCATGAAAGAAACAAGAACCTCAGTTATGCAGAGTTCACTCAGTTTCTGCAGGTAAACATTTTATCCCAGAGTTTTTTCTTTTTGTATTATTATAATTATTAAAATATATTGTTGATAAATAAAACTCCAGCTGTATAATAATACTATTGTTGAAACAATTTTCAGTAGGAAAATTTGAACTTAATGACTTTTTGAGACAGATCAACAATTAGAGCGAATAATATCTATTGCATTTTTACCACCAGAGGCTGTTTTTTTAGCTTCATGATTCATTCATATAATCTCAAATGTGCATAAAGACCTTTCCATCTCTAACATTATTTTAATTTCAGTCGATAGCATGACAGTTTGGATTAGGGCTTTGTCTGAAGCCACAGCTGAAGAAAGAGTTGAGCCAAAATGGCTAACTTTACTGGATTATTTACATTGTGAACCTCACCTGTAGCCCTTAGCCATAGATCAAGATCACATCTGAAATGAGCTTCCTCCTAACGGTGGCCTAATTCCGCTTAGAAGATGGATCTCGTCATCCTGCAGAGGCCAGCAATAAAGCGACTGTCCCTCCAGTGGTAATTCCAGAAAATGTTCATTGGGGTGGCCAGGCAGGGATCAATGTGCTCTTAGCGATGGACCAATAGGCACAGAAACCAGTTCAGAGTCAAACAATTCTGATCACATTGAACCTACAGGAAAATGAACGTTCACAACATCTATATTTTCTTAATAAATTACTGAAGACCAACCAGATTTACATGCAGTCCTTGCTAATAAAGCTACACACATATTTTTTTAGACATTTATGTATTAATTTATGGTTATATATAATCTAATAATAGATTAAATTAAGTAGTATTTAAGTAGTTCTTTATAATTACATAAAATATTTCAAGATGACTGTCCAGCATAAAACATAAAAATAAAAGGGTATAAATTCTGTATTATGATGCTTTCAGACCAAATGCATTTAGGCATAAACGGCAGAACTTCAATGCTAGCTCATATTGCGATCAAAATGCGTTGATGCTCTGGATGCTTGACTTATCTTTTAGCTGCTCTGTTCTGATGTTGCAATCTAGAGAGCGGCTTCGCTTTATTTGCTTTGATGAGTTGGAAAAAAATTGTTTAGCACATTTTTGAGCAGAAAAGTCCAACCTCAAAATGTCATCCGTGCACTCAGATAATCAGGATTATGATCCTACAAAAATATTCTGTTCTTCACCACAGTTCAGAAGGAAAATGTTTTAGTGGAGTAATAATGATCAAAACTCGTTCTCTTTTCCTTGATTATAAAAAAATCCATTCTACTGGCTTTTTAAACCCTTTTCTATTTATTAATTTTCCACATGCCAACGCATGTAGCTGCAATTTATGTGTCTGAGAAAACTTGAGGATTATGTTTACTGCAAAAGTTCATTTTTGAACTCCAGAATCTAACCCTGGGACGCCCTAATGCTCAGATGCACCGCTGGACCTCTCGATGCTGCTTAATGCCATCTTCTATCGACTTTGCATGTTAATCAGATGCTTTGATGCCCAGAACCCGTTTTCTCTGAATGCACCATAAGTCATCTTTAATTGTGGTATATTGTTAATAATTACTTGCTGTATCTTTTTTGTCAGTTTTTAGGCAACATCACTTTAAAATGTCAAAGTATGACATTCCACATGAGAGTTTCACTGCTGCCCACCTCTGGTTTAAATGAGAGCTGCTTGTTCCAGAGGTGGTGAATTACATCCACTTAAGAAATCACCTGGTAGTTCTGCTTGACAGAATATACATGTCCCATTTGGCTTGAGAGCGCCTTGGGATTCCCCCAGAATGATCTAATGAGGGTCATGGGAGACTTTAGACTTTAGAAAGATTTTATTTGTCATTTTATTACCCAAGTGTAAAACAAAAAGAAATTTATTTTGGAAACAGCTCACTGGACAGTTTCATCTTTTAAAAGTGCAACCTTGAAAAATAGTAAAAAATGACTGTAAATTTACAGTTCTAACTTTTTTAGAGCAGGACATCCTCATTTCTCTCTAGCATCTTTTTACTCACATGACCCGATCCCAAATGAGACAAACCAATGGTTGGATTTTAGTGTAATTTATTGTTAAAAAAAGATTTCCACAATACATCTGCATTCATAACATTTTAATGATGTTTTGTAAAATTTGTACAACCCCCATCAAAGAGGGTTTTTTTTCGGATAGTTTGTGTGTTTGTCTGTCTGTGTACAGGATAACTTGAAAAGTTATGAACATATGTTTATGAAATTTTTATCAGGGGTGTCTCTCATCCCAAGGAACAATCCATAAGGTGTTGGTGAAGATCCAGATCATAATCTGGATACAAGATTCTCTAACATTGTGAGATAGGGATATTTGGCGGAACAAGCAGTTCTTCACTAATCCAGAGGGTGGCAGCACTGACTATTGACAGTCTCAGTATTGGATTTATTTGTATGATACAACTGCAAATAAGTATTTGAACACCTGAGAAAATCAAAGTTAATATTTGGTATAGTAGCCTTTGTTTGCCATACAGAGGTCCTGTAGTTTCCTGTAGTTTTTCATCAGGTTTGCACACACTGCAGGACCACTCCAGCTGCCCCACTCTTCCACACAGATCTTCTCTAGATCAGTCGGGTTTCTGGGCTGTTGCTGAGAAACACAGAGTTTGAGCTCCCTCCAAAGATTCTCTATTTAGTTTAGGTCGGGAGACTGGGTAGGCCACACCAAAACCTAGATATGCTTCTTACAGATCCTTGCTGTGTGCTTTCGGTCATTGTCATGTTGGAAGACCCAGCCTTGACCTATCTGTAATGCTCTAACTGAGGGAAGGAGGTTGTTCCCTAAAATCTGGCAATACACGGCCTTGGTCTTCCTCTCCTTATGACAGTGCAGGCGCCCTGTCTCATGTATAGAAAAACAACCCCAAAACATGATGCTACCACCCCCATGCTTCACAGTAAGCATAGTGTTTTTAGGATGGTACTCATCATTCTTGTGGGTGGACTGCTGGAAGAAACTATGGAGGATAGAAGAACTGCGGTGAACTGGTGAAAGAAAAGTGACCTTAAACAGGTGCATCTAATTTAGAATAACAAATGGCGTGGAGGCGGACATTTTGAAGGCAGACTAACAGGTCTATGATGGTCAGAATTGTAGATGATAGACAGGCTGCAGTTGATCATATAAATAAATAGTTAAAATAATCCTACACTGTGATTTCTTGTTTTTTTTTTTATATTATGTCTCTGATAGTGGACATGCACCAACGATGACAATTTCAGACCCCTCCATGACTTCTAAGATGGAGGACTTGCAAATAGCAGGGTGTTCAAATACTTATTTTCCTCACTCTATAGGAGTACGTTATGGTTTGGGGTAAAATTAGCTGCTTGGCAGAGGTCTGCACTCTCAGAGTGCTAGAATAAATAGAATAAAAGTGAACTAAATGAGTTTCAACTTACACCTTAATGTCTTAGAAGCGTTAAAAAATGTATCTATAAAGAGCCGTAAGGTTGTTGGATGTGGATCTGAGCTGTGGGCTGAGGAAGCAGCTGGGTGGGCTTCTTCTCTACTTCCCTGTGGGATACCTCACAGCTCTCTATAGTTTGTTATAACTGACTCCACTGCACCAATGGTCCTCATTTGTACAGGATTTCAAACACTGATGTCATTATTTTCTGCTGTCAAGGCCAGGCTTAGTCAGTAGGCAATGCAATACATCTAAATAATAGCCAGATAAAGTGTGTTTGTCTGGCTTTTATTCCGAGTTGCCACAATGTGTATTTAGCTAAAACTGCAGTACTGTTTGGTATTAGATCAAACTTTGTCATCTGCTTTTAACAAAAGACAGAAGAAAAGCATCAGGAGGGCTCAGTTTCAGGACCAATCCAATAATTAGGCCAGCGTATCAAAGACGGCGCTCCACACTCCTCTGGTTGTAGGTGATGAGCTCTGACAGCAGGGTTTGGCTCCCCCTGTATCCTCTCCTGATTGCCTGGTTGTCACATTGAATCATGTCTTTTGGAACACACACCTGCCGGCCACCTAGCAGCCGCTCTCAGATCAGGCTTCTCTGGATGTGGGCTTTATAAGTCTCTGCACAGACTACGGTGATTAGCTTTATTCTGCCGGATATTTGTCTTGATTTGATGCATATTGCTCTTTTGTCCTTTGCCCTTTGCACCGTTCTGCTGTTCCAGGAGCTGCAGCTGGAGCACGCTCGCCAGGCGTTTGCACAGAAAGACAAGAAGAAAAGCGGCACCATCACTGCCTTGGACTTCAGCGACATCATGTCCACCATCAGGCACCACATGCTGACTCCTTTCGTAGAGGAAAACTTGGTTTCAGTGAGTCTTAGACCGCTTTAGCAATGCTGCTTCAAAATACGACCCCTGCTCTGCTGACAGCGTTGACTGTTCCTTCAGGCTGCAGGAGGCAGTACCTCCCACATGGTGAGCTTCTCCTACTTCACCGCCTTCAACGCCCTCCTCAACAACATGGAGCTGATTCGCAAGATTTACAGCACCCTCGTCGGCTCACACAAGGAAACACTCGTCACTAAAGGTACTTTTGATCGCCCCCTTAAATGAATCTCCTGAATTTAACGTGCTGTCAAATTTGGCTGTTCGACCCTATTTTCAACTTTCTCGACAGAGTGGTGTGAGTGAGCACACAGGGAACATTAAGTGTAGCACTAAATTACTCAGGTAAATGAATGTTTTTAATGTGGTAAACCTGATGACCCCTCCTCTACATGAGTAGCTGATCCTGCCCGTCACATCTGCTCCCAACTGTGTTGTCCATTTAGATCTGAACATCAGACTTTCTTTCCATAGTTTTTTTCCCCCTCCATTTAGAGAAAACTTTAGGCAAATAGTATTTGCAAATAATATCCTCCGGGTCTAGATAAACACTCTTTATTTTTCCGTCACACAAAATATGTCCACACAGTCCTCCACATCAAGTCGGCTTGCAGGTTAGATCCGTGAATCTGATTGAAAGGTTTTTCTAAGGAGAAATAAATAACTAACTCTTTTCCTTTCCTCAACAACTACCATTAGGTTTTCCTTTTAGAAGACCACCCGATGGCCACTTTGTTACCTGGCAGGCAGCAGCAAAGAACTAAATTTGAAGCTCAAATAATAGAGTGATGCTAAGAGAGTGGATGTTCACGTGGCGAGTACTTTGGTAGAAGGAACTTAAGCACATAGCAAAGTAGTTTAATGGTTCATTCTTTCCAAATACAGATATATACATTCTTTTTTAGCAGTAAATATCAACACTAAGGCAATAACCTAAGCATACAAGAACCAGTATTTGCAAATACTATTGTAGTTAAAGCCTACTGTAGAAAACACCTCTTTTATTTCGACCTCTCCTCTAGTTTGGCTTTGTTCGTATGACTTTCTTTTCTCTCCCCTTTTTTTAAACCTCAGAGGAGTTTGTCCACGCTGCAAATAAGTTCGGTCAAATCACTCCGATGGAAATAGACATCCTGTTCCAGCTGGTCGGCCTCCACTCCCACTCTGGGTAAGATGCTTCATCACGGCCTTGCAACAGTGTTGGAAGAGTTAAAAACTAAGATTAATTTGTGATCCATACGTGCACATTGGTTTTAATACAAAATAGCCCATATTGATAGTGAACATGTAAAGAAAATAAACTAGAAATGCAAGAAACCACCTTAAATCTGTCATTATCAGGTTGTTTGTTAATATATGCTGACCTGTGTAATGGTTTTCCTTCACCAAGGCATCTCACAAAGAGTAAATCGTGATGGATTTAAACCACTGATACCTTCCTGTTGTTGAACCTGCCTCTAAATGTTCCAGTAAATGCAGGGATTAGGGATATAACTGTGTTTTCCAGAACTAGAAAGATAATAATCTGAGCACAAACCAGCTATAGTCAGACTCTGCTTACAAGACGCCTGACTGATCATTAGAAAAAAAAAAGGGGGGTTTCTAATGAAACCATCAGGAAAAAAAAAGAATTTACCAATACAGATTATTTGTGATGAAGATAGGACATTTTCTAAATCACAATGGTGAGAACATCATGGTGATGGTTTTCCTGTAAAGTCACTTTACTAAGATGCCAAGCAGAATAAATAAGTGTTTTGTTGTATTTTCTCTTCCTCAAGCTATCTTAAGTAAAGTAGCACAGTAAAGCGTTAAGTGACATTCGGTCAGCTAGCAAAAAGAAAAGAAACGAAATCCTTCAATTACTCCTAAGAAGCAATGAGACTCTTGGAAAATATTTTCTAGCTTGAAATATAAACGTTAATCATCGTTTACTCTAAAACAAAAGTTATTATCCTATGATATAACCTACTGCAGGCTATCTATCCATAGCCAGTTAGCCTTCTGATATCACGTTTTGATTTAAATCACATTGATAAAGAGAAGAATAGAATAAAGCTATAACACCCTGCATCATACTCATTTGGAAACCACTGCTTTAAGCAGGTGTTTTTGTAAATGCTTCTTTCCTGTTTTTAGATCTAGAAATATTATCCGGTTTGATCTTTGGTATGATGGCACATGAAATGGGAGATTTTTATTATTATTTTTATGTGGAGTAAATTCAAACTGATTTATTTTTTATTTCAGTGGAGTAAATGTGTCTTGTTTACTTGCCATAAAGAAGAAGTTGACGCCCATTTTAGCTTAGTTACAGTGGCTCCACTCGCTTATTTTTACAAGACAAACATAAAACATGGATGCAGACTTTATGATGCGTCAGGCCAGCGGGGAACATTTCTGTCTCAAATATTTGGCAGCAACACACCTTCATTTATCCGCCGGCCCTCCGGCATTTATCCAGCTTTGTTTGTGTGTTGTTTATGTCAGTCTGAATTAAGGATGCAATAACTTCAAGTTATTTGGTAGTAAAAACAACTGGAAAATATTACAACACTGGTTGCCGCGCCTCAGTGGAGATGTAGGTTTTTTTTTTTCTTGGCCTAACTCCCGAACCCCTTCCTTTCAGGCGGTTGAACAACACAGACATCGAGAGAGTCGCCCCGCTGGAGGAAGGAGCCATGCCATACCACCTTGCTGAGACTCAGAGACAGGTATCCTGAGTGACTTCTCTAATATTCCTCGCATCCTCCTCCTGCCTTTCATCAAAGCCTTTTCCTCTTCTCCATCTCCGCTTCCCTCTCAGAAAAGGGAGCAAAGAAAGGCAGCATGTACAGGCTCTGAATTAGCAGAGAGCCCGTGTTTTTCTTCCCTTGTGAAGTGCATTTCTTAAACTCCCAGATAAAAGTACACCAATTATAGTCACAGAAGAGGAATGGATTGTTGCGTTGCAGCTCTCCATGAAAGGCTCTTCCTATTTTATTCAGTGCGGCTGCACATACGCATCAGCTGCAATCACACATCTGAGGCGCTAATAAGAGGCTTTTATCACCGTGGGGCTTGAGAAGTTTTAGAAGCCTTTAGCGAAGTCTGCTAATGGCAAGAGGGGAGTGGGAGGCGAGGACGATGTGGGAGAACAAAATAGTTCCTGCCTCCACCGGATAACATGACTGTGTCAGAGCTTTCAGGCCACTCGTGTTCTTGAGACTCAGGCTCAGAGGTCTGGAATTTGACTCCTTCTCTTTTAGACGGGGGTTAGGGGGGGGGCGTAATTCTTAAGCCTGCTCTTCAGTGGAAGTAGACTAATTGTTTAAAGCCTTTGATCAAGACCTCGATCTTGTTAGCATGAGGCCTTCTGTGGAAGCATCTGGGAGGAGGAAAAGAGCGATCTGCTTCGCTCCCTTAGCGTCTAGTTTGGGGAGGAAGTCACAAGCCACCCCCCCACAAAAAAAAAATCTATGCACACTCATGTTTTAACTTTTCCTGTGGCTGTGTTATACGGTGTTGTTAGACCACAAATTGATTTAATCAAGATTTGATGCAAAATAGATCAAAACAAAGCAATATCAATATGATGTAGAACCAACTTTTACCGCAGTTGCAGCAAAGCCTTTGCTTCCTGTGTCTATCTTTGCATATCTTATCCATGCTTCTTAGGAATTAGCAGATGTTTTGGTTCGCCCTCCACCCTAGTCTTCTTATCCTCCGACATTTTTTCTTCGCGGACTTTCTTATGTTTTAACTTCATCCAACATCATTTTTAAATTGGACCAGCTTTCTTATTCCTGCGGAATATCATCTTCAGAGTGTTATGTTACTACGATGTTGTTTAACAGTATGGAGGGGGTCCTTAGGGTGATTTGTAGTGTTAATTGGCCGCTGCTGAGTGACGTACGTAGCTCCTCAGTATACGGGTTGTAAAAGAAGAGACATGCCTAAAAGGTGCAGGACAGCGGACCCTGAGGGCCAGAATTGGCTCACTTCTTGTGCAGATTTCTCTAGATGTTCACCCCTGACCTCTCTACTCTGTTACTCAGTCTTCATCAAAAACTACACCCTATTCTTTATTTATTTATGTATACTTTCATATTTACATTTTTCCTTTGCTGGCTGCAAAAAAAACCACTTCCTTTTCAGCGTCAATAAATTTTATTTTAAACAATTTGTTCTCTGTTGTTCTCTAACAAACCTATAACGCTTTAACAGAGCAGCTGGGTATATAGTAAGATCAAATCACACACAGGTGGTCTGTATTTACTAACTGGGTGTCTCCTGAAGACATTTTTTTTTATGGTTTTGAGAGTAAAGGGGATGAACACAAATGCACACCATACTTTTGGTGTATATATTAAAAACAAGTGAAAACCAAAAAAAGTGTTTTTTAATATGAACACTGTAGCTCAATGCCTAGGGCAGCATGGAGGCTATTAGCTCTTAAAAACAAATTTAAGAGTAACGTTCAGCTCCATCCCAAACTAATTTTCCCTAACGTTTTCATAAATAAAATGTCATGTCACTGCGTGTGACATGTTGCACTCTGTATGAGCAGTATAATAAACTTGTGGTAGTGAAGCCAGTAGTGAATTTAGCTTATTCACTTATATATCTCAAGTGCAAAATATTAATGAAGATTCATGAAGTTTTATTCTATTTATCTTAATGTGAAGGGACGCCGGCTTAGATGGCAATCTATATATTTTGTAAACATGCTTCAGTATAGGTATAGAGCACCCTTTATTCTGTTCTTTATATATGATAGGTGTTAGAATAAAAAAAGGTGGTTTTATGCAGACCGATGAGCACAGGGGGCGTAGATGTATTCTGTGCTAAACTATGTTAGTCGATCACATCAAATCCCCAAAACGCAATAAAGTTGGTGAACTTGAAGTGACGAAATGCAGTGAAGTTCATGGAGTCTGGATGTTCCTGTAAGGAACTGTGATTATGTAGATTCCTATCTGAACGTGTGGAAGGGTAGTTTGGCTAATCTGTTTCCCTGCACCCCGGTGGAAACAAAACATCAAACACCAGGGCAGAGATGCTGCAGATAGGAAGGAAATTATACGTTTAAAATGAAAACCAAATGTTTAGATCACAGCCTCCTAGATGGAGCATGTGTGGAAAACTGGGGCTACAGGTTCACACAGCCTCCCCAGAGCTAATCTTCCTCTGACATTTAATACCGGCTGCTGGTGAATCAGACTGTATATGAAATGTCTGCATTCCATCTCCATAACATTTTCCTTTCCACCATGTATCTGTTTCACTGTGGCTTGATATCCAGCAGATTCATGATTAGTGCTGTGATCCAGCCTCCATCTTTCTCCAGATCCATTTGACCACCGGTGTCTTTTTCCTCCCATACAGCATGCTCACGAAACATCGCGGCCCGTCTGGCTCCAGGCTGCAGAATCTGCCTACAGGTTTAGCCTGGGCTCAATCGCTGGAGGTGAGTGACATGTCTGCGGCGGAGGCCCCCAGCCCGCCCGAGGTGTAACCTTAGCCGGCCTGACTGCTGCAACTGAGGCCCTGGGGCCCACCATTGTGTTTCTGGGGAGAGGGGCTGGGATGTGAGGCTCCGGCATTGTGCTGCCGTGCCACCGGTGGCTCCAGGCTGTCTTTGGAGACGGAGCTTTGGAATGACACAAATCTTCCGGAACCGCACTCCCTGGAATCTCCCTCTCTAATTACACTGGTGGGACCAGAAACAAGGAACCACTGACATAACCGCCCCACAGACAGAAGCTCACTCTGACTCTGTGGGGAAAGAAGACAGCGCAGCCGTCACTCAGCAGCGGCCGATTAAGACGGGGTTTGAGCGAGATGTCTGTCGCAAGACTTTACAGTGAAACTGTAATACTTCTGTTGCAGTGAGGTTTTGTTTTATCACCCTTTAGGGTTTTAGCATTTTTAAGAAGAGTCAGGACACCAACAACTGATGTCAGACAAGATGCAGTTAGGAGCAACGATTTAGTGCAACTCACCTCAGCTTCACTAACATAAAGCAGTAGTGTCATATTATTGGTGCTCGTTAAAGATGCATTTTAACTTTTTACATTTCAAGCTGGAAGAATGATAAAACTGATAATTTAATGAATAATTAACATGCCAGTTTTTATTTTTGTTCAATTTTACAATCTCTTTAGTTCTATCCAGATAACCCTTAAACATAACATTTTATTTTTGTTTATGTCTTTGAACAACAATACAAAATTTACACTGAGATGTTAAGACGTGTTAGTAGAGCCTTTAAATTATAAGATAATTTAAAATGGCAACCAAGGCTGACCGTAGTGGCGAAGAGTACAAAAAATAATAATAACTATGTCCAAACTAAAAGATTATATGAATAATTAAGGGATTTTTAAACACAAAACACCCTGTGGTTCTAAGCCAAGGAGTAAAAGTGAGTTTTTAAATGAGAAATAAAAACATCCTTAGAAGGTGGGAATGGATCAATTTATCTGGAAAACTGGAATATCTTTTATTAAAGCATTCTAATTTATCTCAAGCCTGAAAAAATACTGGTACTTTTAATGTATATATAGATATATTTGCTTTGTCCTTAATTGGCACAGCTGCTCTGTTTGTTATCATTTCTGAAGTATGCTATGTACTTTTATTATAAACGGTCACATTGCCACTCTTATATTCATTTTTATGTACTTTTGACATTTTTATTGACACTATAAAAACAACCAAATGTAAAAAAAGAAAATGTAATTAATCATCTGTAGTCGAAGGATCCTGATCTGAAGTGGAAAATCGTTTTCCGATTTGATAGCTGTCACCTTTCGAGTTTGAAACATTTGATCTGTTAAAGCAAACAATCTTAAAATTTAGTCTTCCAATTTTTTCCAATAAAGAAGTTTGTTCCTACTGGGGAAAAAGATGGGCATCTCTGAACAGAAAATGTAAAAGAAGTGTCAAATTTTGCAAAAGAAAAAGTCTTTATGTCGATTAAAAAAAAAAAAAATTCAGTACCAGACTGATACATATTTTAACAAATTAGACAGGGAATAACCTTCTAAAAGACTTAAAAACAGGGATGGCTTTTAAAATAAATCTAAAATTGGTAAAGGAAGAGCAGTTACACTCTCCCTTGTTTGTGCCACTCAAACAGATTTAATGTTAAATATTCCACTGTCAAGGTTTCATGGAGGTTTTTTTGGACCCAAATGCAGAGATGAGGAGGCACAGATGAGTTTGCAGATTTAATGGAAAGATACAGAGGCAAAAGTCCAAAATAAAATAAAAAACAGCCAATGCCAGGGGGAAACACACACAGGGAGCCAGGCAACATTAAAGCAGCAAGAAACCAGCAATGAGGAACTGCAAAGGTGGTGTATATATGGGAAACCAAACAAAGAATGGGCTAAGGAGCTGATAGGGAGCAGGTGTGAATAGAATTAACTAGAAGGGAGCCAATGGGAAAGAAAACATGCACAAGGGGGAGACAGAGAGGAACACAAAAACACAACACTGACAGAAAACAACTACAAATAAATAGAAAATAATAAATAAATTGAACCTAATTGATCTCACTATAGATATATTAACTGCATTTAGTGCATCCCCTTTGGGGAGCAGTGGGCTTCCACTGTGCAGCACCCGGGGAGCAAACAAGGCTTAAGGGTCTTGCTCAGAGAACCAAAGTGGCAGTCTGCAGGAGACCCAGAGTGGTAGTCTGTGGTAGTGGTTTTCAAACTCACAACCACAGGATTCCAAGCCTTATGGCCTAACCACTAGGCCATTAGACACAAAATTACAAATAAACTAAAAATAAACCTAAACAAAGGGCAGAACCCTGATAGAAACCGTTTAGGGGTCACCTACTTCCTGATTGACCCTTTAGGGGTCACCTACTTACTGGAGTCACCTACGACTTTCTCCCATACTTCACCTCAGCATCACTGGTGCAGCATGATGCTAAGGTATGAAAATCTCACCATGACAACTTTAAACATTCTCCTCCTTTCAGCCCTTTTTTTAGCCATGTCTGAGACTGAAACCTTTTTTTTTTCCACGTGGGCAGCTGCAAATTACAGTAGCTGATATTTTGATTGAAGCATCTCCGGGTTAATAGAAGGCCCCCTCTCTGGTGGTTCCTGAATTGCTCTTGAGCAACAAAATAAGCTTCCTTTAACCCAAGGATGATAGATTGAGTCAGATTGTTGAAACTTGGAGACAGCTGGGTTTTTTAGCAGGACAGAGTTGAGTTTGTACCACAAAACAAACCAATTCAAACAAGAAAACATTGAAGCTAACATCTATGAACAATGAATTACTCCCGTTTTCTCAACAGACTGAACGTCCGGTTTACTTTGCGGCTTTGAATAAGTTCAAGGCTACACTAAAAACACTCATGGCTGTGCACTTGATTTATTGCGAATATTTGTATCAATGTGATGTATTTATTTTTCGGCCCTTATGGTCTCCATTGGAAGAGAGACCATGGATGTTAATGGAACCAGCCTTCTTGGATAATATCATAAAATGTTAATAAGCCCTCCCTATCTGCCAAGAGCATTGGACAAACAGCCATCCAGATTATTAGGAGAAACTTGTTGATGCACATGGCTCAATTGTAGCCTGCTTAAGGACATTTGTTTAAATGTTAGTTGGGACATAAGGAGATATTTGAGTCTGTATTTATGTATCAAAAACATCAAAATTTCTTGAATTTATAAAAGACAGAAGTTTTTCCTTATATGATAAGTCAAAATGTGTCACCAGAGCTGTAACTTTACATTTAATGGTGCACCAACATAAATAAGCATGTGAGGATGGTTGGCCTGAGAACTGATGCCCAGATAATAAAATCTTGGGACTTTTCTGAATAGAAATCCAACTTTAAGAGCTTACTACTGTTGCATCAGTGCCAGAGTTTAAGAAGAAAGGTTTTGACTAGTTTCACCTCTTAAGAAGTGTCTCATTATGTTGGTTTCTCTAAATTGATTTCATGTAGCTTTCCACATTTCTGTAAGCCAAAAAAAAAAGTTTGAATGAGTGTTGGTTTGTTTTGCTCTGCAGCCACTGGAGCCACTGCCGTCTACCCCATCGACCTGGTGAAGACTCGGATGCAGAACCAGCGCTCCACGGGCTCCTTCGTGGGAGAGCTGATGTACAAGAACAGTTTCGACTGTGCAAAGAAAGTCCTGCGTTACGAGGGCTTCTTTGGCTTTTACAGAGGTGATTACATTTCCACAGGTTTTTACAACAACCGCGCTTGCTTGCTGTGCAAATCAGCCCACATGAGGGGGAAGAGTCAGGGTGCTAACACCAGGAGCACGGTTTTCTAATTGGTAGCAGAATCCTTTGCCCTCTGTGTTCAGGAACAGCCAGGGGTTTTTCATTATCTCTGTACCTGGGAGAGATTCCTGAGGGAAAATGACCGGCGGTATTAATGTACTGTCTGATCTGCCTCTGTTGGAGTGCTGATAATAGCGCTGAAGGCTTCTGATATCCATGCCTTTCACCCCTACTCATGAGGGAAGTCAAGACTGCCATCTACAGCTGCCTCCATGCTTGCAGCGTCTTATTTCTCCCTCCTCTTGTTTGTGATAAGAGGCCAATCGACTCAGAGACAGACATGCTCGGCTGTGTTCTGGCCGCATACCAGCAGCGGTCAGTCAGCAGCTCCTTCAGAACTTTATCTGCTTTGATGAAGGACGGGAGCTGAAACAGTATGACGGTTATCGGCACTGTAGCACCCAGACTCCCCCCCCACCCCCTTAATCTTGTCCATGGCCACACAGCTCTCTCTGTTCCCCACCAAGAGCTGGATCAAGCCAATCCCATGTTCAGGGGCAATCATTTCTTTTTGGACCTTTGTCCAATTTCAATAGGACCTTTGTATCTCCCATGCATCAGCCACCATCTGTAAATATTTACAGGTTTGTTTTAGGCTCCCAAGAATCCCTGCTGCTTGTATTGTTCCAGCTGTCAGAGGATGTAGTCATGCAGCCGACATAAAGAGGGCCGTTCATCTCCAGGGAAACTTTTTTTTTTCTCTCTGTAAGACGTTTAGATTCCATCTATGAATAATATTTTGCAGGACTCCTCCCGCAGCTCATCGGCGTCGCTCCAGAGAAAGCTATCAAGCTCACGGTAAGTCATTCCGACACAGAGCTAAAAAAAAAAAGCTGCGGTGAATGAATCTCTGAGCAAAGCAACCTAAGCAATCTTGCTTTATAGATTGTCTCTCATTTGGCTCATTTTTGTCTTGAATATCTTCCTTTTTATATATATTCTTTTCAGATGAATGATTTTGTCAGAGACAAGTTCACCACGGAAGATAATACCATCCCTCTGTTTGCAGAGATTCTGGCTGGTGGAACTGTGAGTATAGAATTATGGCTCAGAGATATTCTGTTATGTTTAATCCATGTATTTAGCATTAACTCCCTTCACAGTACCCCTGCTTAAATGATTGGCTTTTTAAGTGTTGGTACATTTTAAAAACGAACCTTTAACAGGATCTTTATTCTGTAAAGTTCAACTGAAAGCAAACAAAAAGCTTCGCTCGCTTTTTGCGTAAGTGTTCACACCTTTATACACCTGTAAATCATGTCCCCCTAATTTAGTCCTGAAGATAATGCAGTGCAGTCAAGTTTAGTTCATCATTTAATACTAGCTGGTAAGAAACAACTCAACAAAGAAAGTTCAGCAGATTGCATTGAGACTTTAGCTTTGCAAAATCCCTCCTCTTGAGCACGCATGTGGTCACAGTGGAAGGAAACCAGTCTCCTATAACAGAAATAAAGATCCAGCAGAACCAGGCTTGGTTTGTGAAATAAAAAAAACAGAGAAGCAGTGGGGTAGGAATACTTTCTATGGCTGTTTTTTTTCCAAAAACCCAAACCAATTGGGTTGCGCTGAAAGCACTAAAAGGCCACTTTATCTCTCTGTCTTTGCTAGCAGTCTGCTTTTGGGTAAACGTGACTGTATGATTGTGAAAATTTAAATTGAAAATAAAATAAAATTAGATTCAAACAGTAAAAAAGTATGCATACTTTGCATTTCCGTTTATTTAAACATCCTGAAGTTGGTCATAATCTGACAAAAAATCATTATAAGGGCTGAAAACTGGCTGCTTTGTTGCATAGAACAAAACATCGTGTTGTACTCCGTCAATGACTGCAATGTTTCTGTCAGTGATTATCCAGGAAAAAGAAGAACTGAACACAGCAGCTAAGAGCACAGATTTACCTCAGCATCCCGGCCTACATCTGTATTACTCTGTTCTGAAAGTTTTTGGGTCGAGGCACACATTCCCTGCAGAATCTCTGGGACCCAGAACCATCTCCTGGCCTTTCCATGCTGGCCATACTTGAATAAAACCACTGACGAAACTGACGAATAACCCAGACTTATTGAAGTTTTTATAAATCGATCATAATTTCCTGGTCTCAGTTTTTAGATTGTAAATATCTGTTTCCCAACCTATATTTACACATCGATCTCAGTTAGAGTAAGCTAGTTCTGACTTCTCTGCAAACTTTCTGTAGCTGTCAACAAGGTTTGTAATAATTGTGCTATTTAAACTGGTTGGTTTCTTGGCTTATTCTTTAACAGGGTTGAGGCCAACTTTCAGGTCATTATCCTGTAATAACATTCAGATGTGTTTAAGTCTCAGTTGTTAATTTGAGTAAGTTTAGTCTCTTATTCATTTTGGTATCAAATCTGTGGAGTGAACTTTTTCAACTCTGAGAAACTGAGCCACATCATGATGGTACCACCAACGTGCTCAATGGTGGGTTTAAAAGCCTCAGTTTAACTCTTTAATATGTGGAATATTTTTCATTATTGTAATAATTGTACTCATCCAATAACACCAAAATATGTCTATAAAATCGTCTGAACAGACATGAAAGGAAAGGAAATGATCAAAAGAAGTTTGTAAGTTTTTGAGGAAGAGCCAATAATTCATCGTTATTTAGATCTTTGTTCATGTTGATGAGAAATTTATGTTTTTAGTGTTTTCTTTTTCAATCAGACTACAGTAATCAGCCTGTTCTGTTGTGTAATTACTCAGTAACGCTGCGTTATGGTGAACCTTGGAGGAAATTTCCATAAGCAGCACTAACGTTATAGTTGTAGATGCAGCCTCGTCACATATTCTGAGAGCAGCGTTGGATTAAAGACGTAATTCCTTCACACGGTGTAGATATGAGAGGTTGGGAGAATGAAGGCCTGCAGGTTGGACTCAGAGAAGCGGGGTCTTTGAGGTTGTGACCCCTGTCAGAGTGTAATTGGAGGAAGAGGCCCTGGAGGGCTCTGGATGAAGCAGGGTCTAGCTCAGCGTGATTGAGTTTGACAACAGGGTCCAAACCCGTGTTAGGTCTTGGAGCAGGTCTAGGCGCAGGGTGTTTCAGCTCTCATTTGGTGCAAACCAGAGGTTTGGGCTTAATTGGTTCGGGTGGGGGGGCCTGGGGTTCCTGTAAATTGTTCCACACACACATGCATGAAAGTTTAAATTCAGTTTAATCTGATAACTTGCTGAATTATCACGGCAGAAGATGAAAGACAGGAGATGAGAGCATCAATCTTCAGAGCAGCGGATATTCCCCCCTCCGCTTTGAAAACGAGCTTTTTTTAGCCCTCTGCTCGGATGTTTACAGATAAGACCCCTGCCCTGAATGTCAGCAGCAGCCATCCTGGGGCCTGATTAGATTTGGGGAGGGTGATAAATGCGCCAGAGTCAGAGGGTGCCATGCCTTCAGGACACTGCTTTCCTGGACTGTCCCGGTGATTCAGCGCTCTCCCCTGGGAATAGAGGTTGAATTGGGGAAGTGTGCGGGGCGAGGCCAGGCCGGGCCGCTCACCCTGCCGCAGGAGGCGCCTGGAGGGAAGGCGGCGGGGGCAGAGGGCCGGTGCCAGGGTCAGAGCCTCCCAACCATGAGCCGGTGGCTTCTCCTGCTCCGTGCTCCTGTGACCCCAGTTGTTTCTCCATCAATGCCGGCTTTTTCCTCCTCCCGTCAAGGCCGTTCAGAAAACATCAGATCCAAGGGTGAAAATAAAGCAACCTTTGTGCTTAAGTTTACAGAAAAGATTTAAAAGTCCCTGTAAGGGGGTAAAAATGCTTACACACCATCACCGTTTTCACCCAGAGTTCACCCCTGAGGGGACAAACGCACTGAGAAAACCACAACGTCTGCATGTAAACAGCTCAACATCATTGGATGGTTCTCTTCCTATGTGTGCTGCAATCCTTAGGCTGGAGCTTCCCAGGTGATTTTCACCAACCCTCTTGAGATTGTAAAGATCAGACTACAGGTGGCTGGAGAGATCACCACAGGCCCCAGGGTCAGCGCTCTGAACGTCGTGAGGGACCTCGGCTTCCTCGGCCTCTACAAGGTGAGTCAGGAACACCATATCTGCAGGATCCAAAGTGCAGCCGGAGCCATGAGGCACCTTAACAACATTCTCTCTGAGCCGACCTAAATGTCCAAATATTTCAGGCAAACTTTGGGTCATATTTGATCTCTCAATCAGATAGTTTATGTAGATTTTGTTTTATTTGGCAGACATTATCCATCTTTGAAAGCTGAGGAAACACATAAGCAGCCTTAATGGCTGGGAGAGTGTGTGTAAGAGTGCAATCAGAAATTAAAAAACAGTAGAACCACAAGGTCCTTGTGTCCATTTTTTATATTTTCCTTTGAAAACCAGAAAAAGAAACAGAAAATAAACCACAAAAATACTGAAAGGTAATTTGAAGTTTATCACAGACTGAAAAACAGTCTATAGCGAGGTTCCACTGTCACATTTGAAGCATTTTAATCATGTTTTTGTAACCTGACGAAAATGCAAAAAGGTTCAAGTTTTGAAACCATTCATTCTCTACTAAATCAGCTGATTTTCTGCTGTAATGGCTCATCTGATATGCTGACAACTTTATTTATTTTTTCATAAACTTTAATGAGTTTTCAAACCTCAGAGAGTTTATAGGAAATATGATCATTCACATTTCCTTCTAATAGTTCATTAAAAAGTTAAAGTAACCAAAACACCTCAATTAAATTAATTTCATATTCGCACTTTTTCAGATAAACTTCTGTGTTTGAAGAAGCAATATGTTTAAATGGACATAACTTAGACGGGAAACAGAAAACTTACAGATCAAACATTATATTTGACTGTTTGCAATTTTCCAAACCAACGTTAAACATGCAGTGGAGTCACAGCAGCAAATTAGTGAGGGATTAAACTTCCTCACTGCTCCCCTCCAGATCCACGTGTCTGTACTTACAGCTTTTTCTTATTTCTTTTTTTTCTAAAGTTGGCTTCCTCTTGGTAAGTCAACACGCTGAGGACCTTGATGGATCTGTCTCCAGAGGCCCGGTGCTTCAGCTCTCCCTGGGGCTCTTCAGCTCCATCATCAATACTAAAGCCCCCCTGTAGGCTGAATAAATCAGCTCCCCCAGCCTCTTAATCCCTGCAGACAAACCATCCTTACCTCTGTCTGCTGCTCATTCATCAGTCTCTGAGCCGATGCTTTTGTTTATATTCTTTTTTTTTTCCTGGTAGGGAGCCAAAGCTTGCTTCCTGCGTGACATCCCCTTCTCTGCCATCTACTTCCCCGTTTATGCCCACACCAAGGAAAAGCTGGCAGACGAAGACGGAAGGCTGGGCGCGCTGCAGCTGCTGACCGCCGGAGCTATAGCAGGTAAACATCTGGGAGGACGGCGTCATGTTGTTTTATAAATGAACGCGCCGCATTATCGGCTTAGAAAAAAAAAAAACGCCTGTCGGTTTTTCCTTCCTGTTGTTTCCTTGTCAATAGTCTGACTATATAGCGATCACGCCATGAAGGTATAGCCATCTCTGTCTCAGTGTGAAGCCACCTCTGCATACCAAAACCGCTTCGTTATGTGTTTGTGTGACAAACAAGGTGTACCGGCGGCGTCGCTGGTGACCCCTGCCGATGTCATCAAAACCAGGCTCCAGGTGGCGGCTCGGGCGGGCCAGACGACGTACAGCGGAGTCATCGACTGCTTCAGGAAGATCCTCAGAGAGGAAGGCTTCAGAGCATTTTGGAAAGGCGCAGGAGGTAAGGCCAGCACGGCATATATGCACATCCATCCAGCTGAGCTGCGAGTGTTTCAGTGACTGCATGAGATAAACCATTCAGTTGATGACCTCCGGTTCCCTTCTTCGTCCCTCAGCTCGTGTCTTCAGATCATCGCCGCAATTTGGTGTAACCCTAGTGACCTACGAGCTGCTGCAGAGATTCTTCTACGTTGACTTTGGTGGACAGTAAGTACTTTATGCGTTTAGAAAGGAGCAAAATAGGAACGGACATGTAAAAAGTGCCTTGAAAAAGTATTTAACTTTTTCATCAGCTTTAGAATTCACCTCATCAGTCTTGTTTAAAGCAGCTGTTCTCCCGAGGCCTTGGAGGTTTGTTAGAGAACATAGATGTAGATCAGGAAACAAAATGTTCTGTCACGTTTAAAGCAGGGTTAGACTATAAAACAGTTTTCCAAGCTTTACATTTTTGGAGCATGGTATCACTGATGGAACCAGCTCTGGAGGAGCTGCAGAGATCTGCTGTTCAGCCGGGCTAGATTTTATGCAGGAAACTATCTGAAGGGGATCCCAGTAATCTGACAAGCATAAGGTCATAGGAGTTCACCACAAACATTACATCAGAATTTTTAGCCTTTAGGGCAAAATGCTTTATCTTGTAGGAAGCTAACACAGCACTGCACCCTAAATACATTAGCCTCACCTTTGAAAAATGCAATGGCAGCATCATGCTGTGGGAATGCTCTATCGACTCAGTGGGTTTGATTACAAATGCACACCACACCCCTTCAATGTCACATTCAGCGGTGTGCATGAACACGTTCAATGAATACGTTCCTATTTTTAGTGAACAAATCAGTTTGGAAGTAATGAACCTGAAGGAGAGCGACGTCCACTCTGAGAATACAGAGATACACACAGCTCATGTCCAATTGATAACACTTTTCATTGGATAATGTCAAGTTTTACGGCACTTATTGCAGCAAACAGCATGACAGACCAGCATGTGTACTGCTAGTACTAGTCTGCGCGATTCAAACTTAACTGCTGGTATTTTTGATGCCAGTTTAGCAGAACGACTGGCAAAGTTTTCTCAACTAAAAAAGGAAGACTTGGACAGAAGAAACTTATGTTTTTTATGCAAACTGTTTCCACTGGGACTTAACAAATAAGTCTGTACCCAAACCACGTCCACTTCAAATTTAAAGCGACACATCGAGTTAAAGCATCTGAGCTGTTTTGGGAAACATCTGCTACTGAATGAGGAACGTAAGAAATAATTTTTGATGCAGATCTTTTCCGGAGAGCCTGAATATTCCTGAAGGTCTCTCAAATTCGGACTAAAACCCACTTAAATTCTGAAAAAGTGAAAAAGAAAAGTAAAAAAATGAACCAGCACATGTGCAAACGGAACAACGAAACTGTGAGCCTGAACTATGAACTGGCACAACATTGGTCACATTTATATGTCACTTTGTGATGCTGCCCTTAACTCCCAATCGAATAAAGCTTGTAGCTGTAATGCGACAAAATTACGAGTAAGCTTGATTTGGATGAGGCTCTATATAACAAACCTGCAGACAGGAATTTATCAACTAAACCGTTCCTCCCACCTTGATTACAAGTTTAACCACTTTGGGTAAAGTCTGGTTTGGACATGTTTGTTTCAGCTTTTATTTCTGTTAAACAACTAATTTTATATACATTTCTGTTTGTGCATGACAAAAAGAACAGTCTCCCACGGGAAATATCAGTTTCTATGTATTTAACCAAAGTTTCCCTCTCCTTCCAGTCGTCCTGCCGGCTCCGAGCCTGTTCCCAAACCCATGGTGAAGGACCTGCCCTCTGTGACTGCTGACCATGTCGGAGGCTACAGTCTGGCTGCTGCAACCTTTGCCGGAGTGGAGAGGAAATTTGGTTTGCACCTGCCAAAGTTCAAGTCCTCTGGAGGGTCCAGACCCGAGCCTCAGTCCTCATAAACAGAGCTGCAGCAGGAGGGCGGCATGTTCCTCAGATTTCAAGCTAATGTATCAGAGAGCTTGTTTCACTATAGATGCTGCATGGGTGTGGCTTTTCTTTTCTCTGCTTTGCTTTCAGTTTTACTGTACATATTGTACTTCTGAAAAGAGGAACATTATGGTTCAGTGAAGAATTACTCCTTATATTTCTGGGTGTGTATGACAGCTTTGGTGTGCATGGGTTATATTTAACAAAGATGTACAGATATTTTCAAAATATTTATTTTGAAATCATAACTATGGGACATGGGAGGTAATTTAAGTGTATTTATTGTATTTTATTGAAATAAATCATTCAAAGTGTTTCTACTGTGAAACGTACTTTCTCTGGTTCCCCACAAATCTAAGAAAATCTATATGGATCAGCTATAAACACCTCTGAGCAGATACAGCATATAAGATCATTCGGTTGGATTAATATAAAACAGCATTAAATAGAAATTCTGGACTTGTTTCTAAATGAGTAGAGATGACAACTTGAGCTGCAGCTACAGTCAGAAACTAACATTCACTCATCTTCTTTGGAAACTTTTCTCTCATCAGGATGGGAGAATGCTTAAACAAAATAATATGAAATGAATGCAGGTCGTATCTGTTCTACAAAGAAAAGAAACAGTTCTGCATATGCATGGTGAATTACACCATCACATTTCAAATGGGATAGAGGAGATAAACCACATTCTATTGGGCCATAGACAATCAAAAGATGTAAGAAAACTAGTTTGGATTTTCAGGAACAACTTAGAAATCTCACATAAACTAGAAAAAAGCTGCAGGGTTGTACAGAGCAGAATAATAGATAAAGGTGATGTAGATGCTCCTCTTTGTCAAGAAATCTGGTAGTAGGAGTCAGAGTGAGGCTTTGAAACCTAAACAGCAATATGCTACGGGCCGTTTTAGCTGACTGGAAATCTAAACCAATTAATTATATAATAATCAGAGACCAAAAAGCCAGCTATCAGAGATATGACTGTAAAGAAGTGTGGTTTCTCTATATGTAGATATACATACCAGTATCAAAAAACAGCTCTGCTCTAGTTCCATTCCATTAAGAGGTTGAATGATAAGGGTTTTCATTAAAAGCCTCAAAATAATGAGAGATTCGGTGTTAAAATGAGTGAAAGTTAATGTCTGACTGTAACTCCATTAGATTATTACAGCATTGGCTTATTTTCGACCTGATTGATTTATTACAGCTTCAATGGGAACAACAGCTACAGCATGGCTGACATCTGTGGGTTTGTGCAGCAGTGCACCTATTTGGCTTAAGAAACACAAAGTTAAGGCTCGACATGCTCCAACATTTGACAGGAAAAGATTTTACAGATAAACTTTAAGGCATCTGGTTGAAGAGAAGACAGTTTTTTTTTTTCTCCAAATAATACGGCTTAATGTTAGTGTCCCAGTTTTGATAACCCTGCTATTTGGATCTTTGAGGAAGACTGGTTGATGGTATTCAGAAACTGTTTACACTTTTATTCCTTCAGTCACTTGAAAAACAGGGCCGACAGTCACCATCACCCAGCTGGTCCCTTAAACACCGCATGGAGCCACGGAGGAGAGCTCAGGCAGCCAGGCGCTGAGCAGCCAGCTCCTCTGCGTCGTCTCTGTTTTCGTTGATCTCCGCCAGCGTGCGGACGAAGCGCGTCCACTCGTCGTTTCGTGGAACTGCAATTTGCTGTGAGGGAGAGCCACAACAGCAGAGTTACTCCGACGGCTTCTAACCATTCATGCCGATAATGGCTAAATAACAGACTGAACAGAACTGCTCAGGGTAGTTCATTAAATCTCCTAGATGGTCTCTTAAATACATCTCATTAAGCTGAAGTGGCTATTTTAAATAATTAATCACTCATTTATGCAACAAAGCTCAGGGCTTCTACAGTTTGCATGTCAAATATCTTCTGGGGCTCATTTTTTTTAAGAGTTGTCAAAAACAGGGATAAATTCATGACTGGACGTATTTTCCATCTTTTTTTCAAGGTTTTGATACAAATCCAGCCAATGAAACCACAAAAGCCAATATGATTTACCTTAAATTAGATTATGAGTCATGTTTGCTCACCTCTCCAACCTCATATACAAGAACACGTCCGTCAGAGTCCCCAACTGCAATCTCTCTCCCAGTATGAGCCCATCTGACCCTATTGAGGGCTGGGTTACCCTCCACCACAACGCTAGCAGTGGGCACCTGAAACAACAACAATCAGAAGATGAGCTCCGCTCTGCAAACTCTGCATGGGACCTAATGCAAGACTGGGTTAGAGGAGGAGGGAGCGTACTTCTGTGTCATTGTTTAGGTTCCACAGGTCCAGGTGACCCACTCCGTCCACACATGCAAACAGAGCTGGGTGAGTGGGAGACCACATCACGTCATACACGTAGTCAGAGTTGTCTTCAAACGAGTACAGCGGCTTGTTATTCTGCAAAGAAAAGAAACGTCAATGCTTTTTATGCAGAGAGTAAAACAATGCAGGCTTCTGCACTAATGTCTTCAGGCAAACTTTACTATGCTGATACTTCTTAGCCAGAGGTGGGTAGAGTACCTCAAAATTGGACTCAAGTAAAACTTAAAAAGTAGCCATCCTAAAAATACTCAAGAGAGAAATGTATTTGGTAGAAAGGCTCTTAATGTGCAGAGTAATTGATCTACTTACTATATAAGATCACAACAACTGATCTAATGTTTTACAACATGATGTAAAGTTCAACAAAATCTAAACTTATAACCAATTCTGTTTTGTTTTTTTTTATTAGAAAAAAAATAAACATAAAGTACATCCATGAATTACACAACAACAAATTTAAATGGAATGAACATGCTTGAAAATAGATATCTAGAGTTATAAAACAATAGTCGAGGTATGTCAGAATAGTGTAAATTACAATCTACTGTATTTTCATCAGACCTGCAAACGACACAGCAAACTGAGCAAACGGAAAATAGCACAAAGCCAATAAGCCTTGAATACAAAAAGGATGAAAGTCAGTATTTATTAAGTGAAGTTACTAGCAATGGATGGAGCAGCCAGACATTTTACTCTAGATAGTGATACTTTTTCATATTTTACTTAAGTAAAAGTAGAAATTCCATCCATCCATTTTCTGGCACGCTTAATCCAAAGTGGGGTCACGAGGGGTGCTGGTGACTAACTCCAGCTGTCTACGGGTGAGAGGTGCGGTACACCCTGGACAGGTCGCAGGTCCATCGCAGGACAACACAGAGACAACCAACCATTCACACACACACTCACAGCTAAGCACTCACTCCTAAGGAGAATTTAGAGAAGCCAATTAACCTAACAGTCATGCTTTTGGACTGTGGGAGGAAGCCGGAGTACCCGGAGAGAACCCACGCATTTCCACGGAGAACATGAAAATTCCATGCAGAAAGACCCCGGGCTGGGAATCGAACCCGCAAACTTCTTGCTACAAGGCAGCAGTGCTACCCGCTGCTAGAAATTACAATGCAATACAAGTATTCCTAATGGTACTTGTTTTATTTTTCAAATAGTTACTCAAGTAAACTCGTTACTATCCACCTCTGTTCTTAGCATTGATCGCACATTGGTAAATAGGGTGAACATTTAGAGTCAAAAGGAATCCAGCTGAATTTCAAGAACAAGGAAAATCAGCTGTTTCCAAAATACGTAACATTTAAGCTTAAACTCCGTGACCAGACCGGTTCTTTAGAAACTAGAAAAGAAAAAGGCTACTTTGTTAAACCAACAGGACTACATATTTAAATATGGACGTTTCTGTTCACTTTAATTTGCCTGTAAACCTTACATTCCAAGTCTGGTGTAGATCTGTAGACAAAATCAGGCTTTACAACATTTTAGCTCTTTGTCTTGCTGGAAGGTGGACCACTGTCTTCTGTCTCTAAACTTGTGCAGCCTATAATACATCTGAGCAGCTTCCTTATCCCCACAGCATGACGCTGCCTCCACCACATTTCATTGTAGAAACGAACCTGTGAGACCTTCAAAGAACAGGTGGACTTTTTCCCTGATTGAAAATCCTGTAGCACTGCATTAAACTAAGAGGTAACAATAAAGGGGGCCTGACTAAATCAAATCGTTCATTTCTTCTTTTTTTTTGAGTGATGGAGCGATTTGTGTCTAAGTAAATAAATCCAAAACATGGGAAAGGTGACTATGCTAGGAGCTTTACCCAGCTGACCTAAAACAAAAATAAGAGAAACTGCAGTTTAAGAAACCTCTTGAGGTCTGTTAAGCCAAAACTAAAAGAAAGACCATGCTAGTGTTTGTCTCCTTCAGTGGCTTCACCTTGGTGCTCCACAGTTTGACGGTCCAGTCGAAAGAGGAGGTGACAAACAGGTGGGAGAAGTCCAGCGGCCCTGCAGCTGTGTGGCAATGGATTCCTGTGATGGGCCCCTGGTGGCCCTCAAACATCTCACTGATCCCCGCTTTGCTGAGGAGATGAGCAAAAACACAAATCCGAATAAGCAGGATAACAAGCAACAGATGTACAGAACTGACCCCCAGATTAAGAGATGCACACTTACACGCTGCAGCAGCATTAGTAATGAAGGGCGAAAACCTAAAAGGTTAACAGTTAGCTCTGCAGCTTGTGAGTATTTAAGCATTTCATTAAGCTTGAAGGGAATCAATGGGCACAGATGGACCTCTCCTGGACATGCTCACAGCAATCATTTACTTATATCATGTAATTACCAGCAGGGAGGCAGAAAGTGCCTGTGTCCCTTCAACCACATGTTGCAGAGCTGTTATCCAACTGAGGCTCTGATAATTAATGTAGAAGGGTAAATACTCAGCATGAGTGATGCTTATGCATTATTAACTGCGATGAGAGTATCACACCATTGTAAATGAGGTGGAAAATTATTCCCCCCCAATTACAGAGGTGATTCTGCAGTGCACAACCTCGCAGCTATGCCTTCTGTGGGTACCCTGCAAAGGTGGCTGAGAGGCTGCACTGATTCAGGCCACATTTCTGCACTCAGGGAGGGCAGAGTCCCAGACTCACAAATGGCAACACTGTGGGATGAACTGCAGTTTTTAATTCTCTCTGGAACAACTAACTGTAAACAAGCTGTCTTTGGCACAGAGACGCACTGAAAGGGGAAAAAATGATTTGTTTTCCCCTGCATGTGTGCCCTGTTTATACTGAGTCCTGAACAAACATAACTGACAAGCGGAAAAGAAAAACAGGATGACTGGGCAGGAGTGAAACCTCAAACAGCAGGAGATCAAGTGTTGGATTCGGGCTGTGCTGGGAAGCGAGTGGGCTTTATTTATTTGACACCCGCTCCGAGGTGGGCTTAACAGGTTGCCTCAGTTTCCTGTAGGAGTTAAGAAAAAGAGACGTGGAGGGGAGGGGGATTCTGTGGTCGAACCTGCCATGACGACACGACATGTAGACGGAGCCGTCCTCGCTGCCCACCACAAAGTTGTTGACGTCGCCAAGGGGGAAGGACATGGAGGTGACGGCGACGGCTTTTGATTGCTTGAAGGCGAGCTCCATGCTGTCCTGTACAGAGGAGGGAAAACAAGGAACAACATCCGTTAACATGGCCCCCGTTTTGGGATTTATGTTAATAAGCACGCTGCCAAGTGCAAACTATAATAAATCAAACCACGGTTCAGTCAGGAAGAATCTAAGTCACTTTGACGTTGAGGTCTGCACAGGATGAGCTGTCAAAAAATATTTCCTTCAAACTGAGGAATCAGTTAACTTGAACCTTAAAATCATGCCTGAAATAACATTTTGCATGAATGAGACAACAGAAAAAAGGTGAGCAATACTTGGAATGTTCAGTCTTCAGGATGTCAGGTTTTTCCTGCAGCCTACAGCCTGAATTTAGAGTTATTAATGGCTGCTGCTCTCACCTGAGGCTGGGAGAGCATATCCAGACTCCAGGAGCAGATCTTGCCGTCCGTTGAGATGCTAATCAGGTTGTGGGCGTTCTGTGTGCCGACGACATTTACACAATACACCGGGTGCTGCAAGAAGAGCAAAGGTAAATTTTCTGCCTCTATGTTGAGGAAAAATACAGTCCCCCCCTGTGTGATGCGTCTACAGTACCGTGTGTGCTGCTGCAGACAGAGGGGTCCTCTGCACGGGGGTCCTCTTATTGCTCCTGTTGTCCCACAGAACGATCTGTCCCGAATATGTCCCTCCTACCACAACGTTCGGGTGAAATTTGGCGAACGCCGCAGACATAACAGCAGACTGTAAAACCAGAAGAAAACAGGACAAAAAGTTAGACCTCTGGATTCTGTCAAATAGTTATTATTGCTTAAACAAATAATATTTAGCAGGAAAGATCGACTCATAGTTTAGGGTCGATCAACCGTGTTTAAAACAGCAAAGAAAATTTAGGTGATTCATTTTTTGCATTGCCATGTAGCATTCCTGAGATGACTGATCCTACAAGCTGAGCTAGTGGTCATGGCTCATTAGAATTAGAAAGGATTAAAGAACTGGTAATGCCAAATTCATTTTATTCATCCATTTCTACATTTTTGGCTTCCAGAGAGAAAGACGTTCTTTGGAACCTTTGAAATGTTTGTGCAAATTCTTTATACAGACTATTTGAGGATCTTAAAAGGTCCTCTTCCAATTTTGGCTTTTTCTTTCCCCTTGCTAATTGTCTTTGATTATTGTGTTTGATTTAGCCAGTTCGAAGATCACTTTCAGATAAACCAAGTGATTCACACAACTACCAGACTGAACAGCATGACCTTTATGCTCTGGAAAAAGACTGGGGGGGAAAAAACTAGAGAAAAAAAACAGACAAACTCTCCAGAAAGTATTTCAAAAAAAGTTAAAAACAATCCACTGGACTTTGTTTCCAAAGTTTGAACAGATCTCTTCTGCTCTGCGTCATTTGATAGTAGATTTTAGTCTAAGCTGTCTTAAGCTGTTGGGAACAAGTCTTTGTTGTCTACATCTTAAATTGAAACGAAGATGGTTCCTATAATCTGCAAGTTTCCTAAGCAATTTCTCATACTCACGCATTATTCCAAGGGCGTGCAACATGCTGGTAAAGATTCTCAGTCATCCAGGTCATAGTCATTACAAAAAAGTAAAAAAAAAATAAAAAACAATCCACTGGACTTTGTTTCCAAGGTTGACTTTTTGCAAGTTGTCCAGAAAGTCTAATGATATGCACTATCCTTCATATATTAATAAAAAAATGCACAGAAAAAAAAAGTGAATCCAAATCAATAGAATTTTTGTCCAGTTAAAGATTGCTTTTTGTTTGCTTTCTTGCCATAATTAAATGTTTCAGTTCCTCAAGTATTAGTTTTAACTAGAGAGGAATTGGAAGAATCGTGACTCACTCCTAATTGGTTTTTATCAGCCCCAGTGGATGATTTTAAAAGCAACTTTGCGCAAGTTAACTCAGTTAAGTTTTTCTTTTTTTGCTGATACGTGCCCTTACATTTGTCCAAAGTATAAAATTAGTTTTCTATTAACAGCAGTTGCCTCTATACACTGAAAAAATGGAAATGGACGTAAGTCCTTTTTCTTAAAATAAGGGCATTTTTTTTCTTGTAATGAGCAGGTAAGTGAGACACTGCAATTGGAATAAGACAATTTACATTTGAAATATGAATAAACAGTCTCCTATTTCAAGTGCATAATATGTAATTATATTATTTTAAGGGAAAAAAAAACAAATCCCATGACCAGATTATCTTATTTACCTAATGAAATTAAAAGTAAATAAGAAATATTTGCTTATTGTTAGATTGTTTTTGCAGAGTAGGCTCCATTCATCACTTCAGGACAGATTGATTCTTGTCGTTTTCTGTGAAGCTCTGCGTACTCTCGCTCATCTGGCTACTTTGTTGAGTCTCCGCTGTGGTTAACACATTAGTGCGAGACGTTCCATATTTATAACTTTCTTACCCCAGAAGCCACCACACCTCTATGTAGTCGCAGAGGCAGACTACGGTGCTTTTCCTCTTCTACCTTTCACATTCACAACACTGGTGTTATTTGAGCTTGTCACCAGAGGGGGCCAACTTCTGCAAAAGCTTTGTAACTTGCACTAAGCTCCTTTAAATGTCCGCATCTAGATGTAATTTAGGTTTGAAATTGTTTTTTCTAGCCAGCCAGAGTTGAACCTTCCTCAGCCAGAAATCTAAATTAGAACTCTTGAAACAGCAAAGTAGCGCCTGATCATCCCTTTGAAACGCTCTATTAGGTTCATGTTGAAGAAAATCTTCCACAGACCTCTTACAAAAAGTGTTATAAATGAGTTTCAAGAGAAGAGCCTTAAGTTTCCTGTGAAGCATGGAGGAACGCTGCTCTGCTGCTGATCGGCTGGTTCAAAGCAGGCTACGATATAATTAGCTAAGATGGCTGACAGAACTCAGGTGTTGTGAAACTTTTTTGCTGTTAAAAACTACAGAGATCATGAAGTGGGAAATAAAAGAGCAGCAATTGATTCTATCATCAAGGTTAAATTGTCAAAACTACAGTCAGCAGCATGAGCTGGATTTTTTTTACACCATCACTCTTCATCTGGAGCTCAAAGACCCACAATCAAACAAATCTACGTCAGATGGAATCAGTATTTTTGCTGAAGTCTGCATTATATAAAAACACCTCTATTTTTATTTTGCTTTTCCTTTTTTTGCTTTAATTTTCTTTTAATAGAATTAAGCTGTTATATGTGGACGCACTGTATATACTGTATATATCGAATGCACCCTTTTCTTTCTTTGGCACATTCTTCTTGGACTATTTGAGCTGATGTAACAAGTACATTTCTCCACTGTGAGATCAATGAAGTCAATCAATCGATCATCAAATATGTTAGTTTTATTCTTTATACATCATGTGCATTGTTACGTTGTTAGCCAGATTAGACAGAGTAGAAGGCCTTCCTTCACATGGTGGATGTCACTGTGTTTATGGAGGCCATCTAATCAGGACAGCCTTCGTGTCTTTAAAAATACACAGGATATGGGCACATCTTGGAGCCGGACTGATAAAGGAGAGCTATGTGGAATCATGGGGTAAAGAGGCAACATGCATTAAGTTCAAGGCATGGATGGGGTGTCAGTTTCTGATACGGACAGCTCAGCATCCACCTGATGCAAAACATAGACTCATGAGGTATAAGAAGGAGGAGATGACCTTGTTCGGGGCTCAATCTTTGCCGGACGCTCGCTGACGTTTTTTGAGTCCACAGCTGTGCAAACTCCAAGCAATTTCTCTGTCCTGTAACGACCTGACCTGGAATAAACGCTGTTACTTTTTTACTCCTGTTTTATAGTCCTTTTTTTATATGGTTTATATGGTACCCAGTTTGAGTTAAGAGTAGTAAATAACTTGCTCCCAGGTAAAGAACCGGTAGGGAAGTTCCGAGGCGCAGCCGCCTTCAGGGGGACCTAACTTCCATATTTAACAACTACATTCCAGGATATTCTACCTCTAGGTTATCGTATGACATGACAGAGCTAACTCACCACCTACCTCATATCCTACCACAATGTCATTTTATGATTGGGCTTCATACTGATTAAGATTCAGAATAAAAGTAAAAAGAATAATTAAAAAGTCAATTTTTTTCCCAGAAGCAGAAATCTGATTCACTCCAAAAGAGTAAGAGTTTTTATTTTAATCACAGCTAAGGTCTTAGATTCACTCTCACCACTAAATCTCTTCATCGAAGAACCTTCCTGAAGCAAAAACTAAAACTCAGCGTTTTTGCCAGTTTGGAAGCACAAATCAAAATGCATTCACACTCCTGTTCAGCTTTATTCATCTTTGGAGCGAGCCGTTCTCGACATCCGCTCTGAAGGCAACATGTGGTTCTACTCAACTCGTCTTGGTGAAGGAGCCTCAGGGCGAGCATTATAACGAAGCTGAGCAGAGCTACGGAGCTCAACTGGTCTCCCAGCTCGCGCTGTCTGAACACAGAGCCCTTGTTTAGATGCACATGATAACCAGCCCTGCCCCCCACAAACCCACCCACACTTAATCCTGCTGCAGCTCCTGGAGTCGGGGTCTTCTCCAGAACATGTGTTTGTGGAAAAGATGTGGCGGAGGTGAATGCCAGCGTGGTGAACTCACGGAGTACATGAAGGCGAGAGGGGGGGCATAAGAGAATGGCTGGGTGGTGTTCCACACCCTCTGAGCACAGTGCATTGGGGTGAAGCAACAGCAACAAAAAATATATAATAAAAGGGGAAAGAAGAGGAGAAATGTTTGGTACCTGACAGTGGAAGACGTACTCTGGCGTTGCTTTCTTGAACTTCATGTTCCAAACTAAAGCTACACCATCTGGTTCATGTGGAGCCTCCTCATTGTTGTTATATGAGGCGACGAGCAGCTCAGGATACTAGAGAAAAAATAAATGAATTAAGAGATAAATAAGATGGAACACATTTATAAGAAGTAGATAATATAATGCCCAGATTTACCGCCAGCATTGCTAAGTAATAAACTCTGCTTTAATGATCGGGGCTCATTTTCACCCCGCTTGCCTCTTTCATATTCTTAATATTGCATTTTTATTCTTCTAATTTTTCATTAAAAAATTATTCTTTTACAGCTATTTCAAAAGCTCATCAAATAATTTTTATAACTGCAATAAAACCCAAACACCATTCAGATACACACAAACATTCTGTATGTGTGCAGGATGTTGCAGAGTTTTTTTTAAAGGTTTTAATGTTGCTCTGGGCTAGAAATATAGCGAACAGAGAGGTGGTGCTCAGTCACTGTCAAAAGTCATCACAGAATCTGGAGCGAAATGGCCTTAGACACCAGAGGAAACAAATCATTACAGCCGACGGACATGGCAATGGCGTGTACGGGGACACAACTTAGCTTTCCTCAGGGAGTTTTGGCTGAAAGAAAAATGTTGTCAAACTCAAGTAAAGTAACCATAAAACATGATCAAAGCCGTTTAAAATGTCAATTAGAAACAATTATATTGGCTTTTCCTTCTATTTTCTAAGAAAAAAGGAGTCAAATCTGATTAAATAATTGTTAAATGGTGCCTTGGAGGATGGGTTAAAACTGTCAGAGAAAATCACCTGCGGAGACCAGTCCAGACAGGTAACGACCCGATGTTTGGACCAGCGCTCGTCCATAAACTGCCTGTTGAGTGAAAGCTTCGCTCCCGCCTGAATTTCACTGGAGGGGGAAAACAGCAAAAACAAAACAATACGATCGATGAAAATGTATGCATCCAATTAATAATTACAGCTGTTAAATTAAACTCCTAATACCCTTCCTTCTCCTCCAGATCACGTCCGCTGTAGTCAAAGAAGATGTCCACGTGCTGGGACAGAGCGCGCTCAATGATGCGGGTGCTCTGGTCAAAGAAGTTTGTAAACTCCTCGGAGTGGAGGATCTGCAGCTTTTCCTCCTCAGTCAGCTCATGAGGGGGGGCTTGACAAGGAAACCAAAACTTAGTAAAATAATGTGGAGAGGTGGAAAATTTTGTGGACTGAAAACGTAAAGAAATCTAAAATTGACACCTTAAATGTTAATAGGATTTTATATGACAAACCTACTTAAAGTAGCACGTTCTTGGAAAATAGCTGAAGATCAGTCAGACTGGACGGACGACAAACTGTGAAAACCTAATTTTTCCAAAACTGTCTTTTTAACTTAAGCCTAACTGTAGGTTTAATGTCAAAAATGTATATTCATTTTTTTTAAACAGGCTCTAAAAAAACTTGTTTGATCATCAAACTTTGACGTCTCATAAATAAACTGCAAAGAAAGCTGCTTTCACACTTAAATAGCCTGTTGCTGTACAATCCCAGAGCTGCGAATCTCTGCAGCTCCTCCAGAGAAAGAGTGGCAGCTGTTGGCTTCTCTAATTATCTCCCTGTTGCTCTGGGAGTTTAAAGGATGGCCATTTGTTGCTAGTTTAGAAATAATTTTTTCCATTTTCAGATGATTTTTGAAAGGTTTAAATCTTATGAGTTTTGTTGTTTTCTGACCAAAGTCTCCTTTACACCTAATGTTCTCCCCAACCTATCTGATGTATTCCTAGACCTTAATAATGTCGATCCTTCTCTAAAGTCCTCTAATAAACCTCTGAGGCCTTAGAGAACAGCTGAGGTTAAATTAACTAAGTGGAAGTTATTTATTGTAAAGGAGGATGGATTCTAAAGTACTTTTTATCAAACGCTCATTGAGATTAAAAACATTTGAAATGAGCAAACCAATCATTTTAAATGAATTTAAAATACTCCAAACAATTGTAGTTGAAATTGTGGCAGTGTTACAATGGCTGTAGTGAGGTACCTTCTTCTTCTTCGTTCTGATCAGGTTTCTCAGTCTGATCCTCGATGACTGGTTGAACTGGAGCGATTTCTTCCTCCTCTTCTTCCTCTGTTAATCAAACAAATTAACTTCATTAGAACTCAGATCACAGATTCAATGAGCCGGTACCAGCGTTTCCTAATATGAGGAAGAGAGAAGAAAAAAATAATAAACCTAGAATGTTATCCTTATTATTACCTGGTTTTGTCTGAATGACACATTAGAATAGGCAAACTAAAATCAAATGAAAGTGGAAAACTTTATCAAAAGGAACCATTACGCCTCCCAACGGACGCTTCATACAGCTCGGCCGCTTTCTTACGCTCCATTATTTTCGCCTTTCAATAAAAGCTCCACCCAGTGATTACAGGAGCAGCAATAGAGTGATTTTGTATCTCTGCCTTGCATTTGTTTGGTTTGTCAGCACTATGTTGCCTTTCAAAGAAGAAACCTGCTCCTCTATAGCAGGGAAGTTTGTCGTTTGTATTAAAGGGACACGGCGCAGCGGGTGTCTTGTTGTCATAGGGACCCCTGTCTTTTCCCAACTGTTAATGAGACACGATCCATTCAAAAAGGAGTCTGGTTGTCAGTGTAGCAGTTTCCTCTGTCCCAGTTGCAGGTTGCCCCCTTCTAGGCCACGGGGCAGAGGGTGAGGAGCAGCTGCCTCGGCCCATCCCTTTGGACTTGGCCAGATGACGGCATGGTGCAAAGGCAGATGGTGATGCAGGGATTGTCTTGTGCTCTTCAAAGGTGGCATGGGGATGGCACAGAGGTTTTCCGCCTGGCCGCCTCAAGACAAGCCTCCCCCTGAACGGCAAGCCTGCGCAATTATCGTCCTAGCAGGAGGTCCTGCGGCTCCTATTCAGGCTTGGAGAATGTACAACAAAATACAGGCCACACCAGCTGGCAAACTGCACACAGGTTTCACCTCAAAGAGGACTGAAAACATCTTCTCGAGATGATGTTAAGTGTAAAAAGAAGCAGGGAAAAGGGGGAAAAAATGTTTAAAAGAAGGAAGTTTTAGCTTTGTTTCCACGGGCGTTTTTAGTTAAGATAACCGCACCACAAGCAAGAAATTCTTTGCTAGTGAGATCATCTAAATGATAATGTCATCCGTCACTTTGTCCATAAAGTGATTTATCCCTTTCCTCAGATGGACGTACGAAGGTTATTGGGAGCGCTGATGAGTTTACAGAATCGGGTTGATGACACGAGCTATTTCGATGTGCAGCCATACCCTACTCCCAACAGGAGAAGGTTAAAATCTTTCCTTTCAAGGGCCTCAATCAGGCTTAAAGGAAAACAGTAATCACTGTCTTTCAGCTAGTCCCGGCCGCGCTCGTCAGCCCTTTCCCTGGCGAAGCAGCCGGAGCAATCAACCTGCCAGGCATTAGGAGCGGACAGACAATCTGAAAATAAAGGGTATAATGCACCTGCCAGCCAAAATGGCCATTTGGAGAAAAGCTAGTGATCCCGGTGACCCCGCTGGGGGGCTGTGCGCGTGTGTGGTTGGCGAGAGGGGGGTTGCTAGCAGCAAGGGTGGGTGGGTTGCATTTAACAGAATTCACCCGGATCACCAGTGTCCCATACGCTGACACCTCTCTCAAAGTAAGTCCAATTATGGCTTTTGTACCACTTAAGAAATAAAAGCTTTTTTGGGGGGTGGGGTGGGGGGGGGGCAGAACAGGACATGGGCTGGGGGGTGGAGAGAGAAAGGCAAGTCCAAGTCAACAGACAACATATTAATGCAAACATGGCATGTGGCCAAGGATGAACAATCGTCAAACAGCCTTTGTCTCACCAGCTCTGACTCCAACATGGGAATGAAGCTTTAGAAGCTCACAGATCCAAGATTTTCAGCCAATTTCGAGTCAATAGTTTTAATGACGCTTAGATTTACCAATACAGATTCTTTTTTATCTATCTGCAGAAGCTGTGCCAACATTTTATACTCCTGAAAATGTCACTGATTAGAACAGAATTGAAAATATTCCCTCTAGTCTTGCTCCAGTGAGTCATTAAATCATCCTTTAGTTAACGTTTTGTCTGTTTTAAGCATAAAGCTTGAAGTTGCTAGTTGGAACCGAGGCCTTTAACTTTATCATTCAAAGAGAACAACATTTTTAAATTCCTGCTTCATGACAGAGGCTGAAAAGCTGAAAAGAATAAAACAGCAATTTTGTTGCACTGCATTCTGCCTTCCTGTTATCTGGTGAAAGTCCAACTCTCTCTTGCAGCCGAAATTCAGCCCATGCATGCTGCACAAATGCAGTTTCTTTAAGATTTACATTATGCACTCCTTCTCCCTTTACTTGTACAATACTGAAAATAGCTAGCCAAAAAGTGAAGTTAATACCACAACTTATTATTTCTTAGGTTGGTGCAAACAAGGGCTAAAAACAAGATCTAGGTTTGAGCAGACCAAGCTAAAAAACTTTGTCTTTCCAGGACTTCTTTATCAAACCCCATATATAAAACCACAGGAACAATTTGACAACACAAACATACAATGGCACTGCAAATCTGAATCAAAGAAAATAAAACACTAGAGTATAATCTAAATATGGGGGCATAGGGGAGGGCAGAATTGGTTTAGAGGGAAGAAAATCCACATTTCAAAATCAAGAGAGCACATAAAATAATAAATTATGCAAAACTGAAAAAAGGAAAACATGAAATATTCTCCGTAAAATGATCAGCTACTCAGTAACTAATCATCAAGTGCATAAAAGCTGACCACGATTCCAAGTGGCACTAGAAACAAGCGGGTCTTTAAGGACTTTATGATTAAAAGTTTTGACCTACCTCTAAATTCAGTGATTAAAACAATCACTTCCAATTAAATATAAGATCTACAGATCTACCCGACATGCTTGTGTTCCTGACGAGTCTTTTGAAACACGGTGCTAAAGCAACCAGTCCACCCCCCTACCCCCCCAACAATATCTTACTCCATAATTACAGCCTTCTATTGAACGGTGCATACTGATGCAGTCTGGGAAATACAGTAGCAGTGATACATACTCACGATTTTCACACAAACTTCACACATAAGGACATCAATGCATTAAAAAGAGGGCTTGGAAACATCAGGAAAGAATACAACAGAGATATAATTGTTGAATGTTACATTTTCCATACTCTCTGTTTTCTCGTTAGTCATGCCGATATCTCCACAATCATACACCTCAGTTTTTCAGTGACTAAATGTTATGAAAAGGAAGCATTCAGCACAGGGTAACTGTAGGCAAAGGATATATTAATACCATGCAGAATTTCAATACATGACCTTTGAGCTTAAAATTAGCTGACCACAAATCGCATCAAAGCGTTGGCAACAAAGACAAGGGACAATTGTGATTTGATACTAAGTACATCTCTTGCTGATACAAGATCCAACTCTTTTATATGTGGGTTGTTTAGTCTTTTTTTTGTGTCCTCTTGTGTTTAATGTCTGGTTTAAATGTTTGGAAGCAAAACATTGTTCTTGTTAGAGGATGTTAGAGATATAACCGTCTTTTATTCTGGTAAACAAGTCATCCAATTTCAATTGCAATCTGATTTTATGATCAGTCACCAACTAATTGTTGAAAAAAAAATTTTTTTTAAAGATAAAGAATATTGTGTGCTAGCATTAGCCCATCTGAGCAGGGAAGCATTTAAGCATTGAAGTCGATTTCAGGTCAACTCTTTGTCTGTAAGGTGTTTAAACGTTTAATAGAGGAAAAACAAAAGGACATTTATAGAAACCTGTTTTTCTATGAAGATCTGTCCGTTGCTCACTTCACTGCTCAGTAACTTTTATGCTGACACTTTGAATTAATGTAGTAAGTGTCTCTGAGACAGGTGAAACATGTCAATGCTGCTTCTTTCCTGGTGAAATGTGAAAAAACATGAAGTTTTTCTTCATCATCCTTCAATTTGACATGACAATCAACATTAAGATGATTTGATTCTATCCAAGACAAAAGACCGTAAACATTAGGGTTTATGCCCCCTAAAAGATACTCGATACTGCTGCAAAGGATTTTAAATTAGGGTTTAATGAAGAAAGATGACACAGTAAACAGAGATATTCTATTGGTTTATAAGATTGTTTAATTTATTTTTTCACTTCAAATTTACGAACACGTTTTTCTGACAGGAAGCAGGCCTAATAATCTTTTGGAACATTTTGCCGGAGTCCCGACTTGAATCTGTGGAGGGATCTAAAGAATAGGGTTATGAGAAGGAAGCCTTCTGATCCCAGATGGTTGGTGCTCACAACCAGAGGTGAATTATGAAAGAATAACAGAGGAAATGTATAAAAAAATGCAAATGAACATTATTCCATAGATTATCGATAAGTATAAATAATAAAGTTTCCTTACTTTGTTAAATGTGAGCAAAATCAATATTTTTTTTCTGTTTATTCTCTTGTACATTTATTATTGAATCTAAATATTCCAGGGTTATATATAATCTGAAGCTCTGTGGTGGTAATACCTGGAAGTCATTCATTTTATGTTCAATTGTGATCATTTTATTGTGGTTACAAATATTTTCTTCTCTGAACAAAAATAAGAGGGTAAAGGATCTCATGGGACAAAACTACACCATGGATTGCTTAGCGGCTCTCTCTAGCATCATCAGCAAGGCTTCTCAAAAACAAAACAAAAAAAAATTAGATAGCATTCTTCCTGATTGCTCATTGTTTCTTTTAGAAGTGTGAATATAGCCGCTGATCTCCAATCTTAAACTCATTTTTCCCCAGATGTCGTGCTGACACAGTGGGAACCCTCAACCTGCAGCAAGGGCACGCTAGCCGCTCCCGCTAACGCCACCGCCCGCTGACCTTGAGAGTGCGGTGCTGCTGCCTCTTTTCCACAACACAATGAATCACTCAATCAGAAAGCAGGCCAGACGCCACCCCGTGCATCACAAATGTGGCAAACAGGAGAGAGCTGGGGAGGCATCGGCGTCTCATCGAGCTCCAGAAGTGATGGTGTGAAAACGCACAATGTCACTGAGTGCGTTTTGTTATGTGCCTGTTCGGTGAAGGGAGAAGACAGGGGAAGCGAAGGAGTTGATGAAATGATTACATAGTGGCAGGGGCGGGGGGGTGGGGGTGTTCTGTGTTGAACAGCTGGCAGAGAGCACCGTTGTTTAACAGTTTTACTATATGGAGCGGAGGCCAGAGAAACAAGAAGTAAAAAAAAAAGATGCTCTTCATCCTCCACTAGCTCGCTCTGTAGTCAGCCACCTCTTTCCAAACACAGGAAAATCTGACCTTACTCACTAACTGCATGGTATCTCTGAAAGCCCTTCACATCAGTACAACGTTTTAAATTCAAACCAACATTCAATGGAAGCTGAAAACATGTGTTAACTGGAGCAAATTAAAAGCCAAACTCATCCAGTAGCTTGAAGGATCAGAACCAAAGCCCTCATCAGGTTGTCAGACAAGCTTGTTATTCACAATCGGGTGCAAAAATGAGCCAAGATCAAGCAGCTCGGGAATGTCGCATATTTAATACAACATGTGTTCAACATGTGGATTTCAGCACAAATATTCTGTTTGTCCACCCACATGAAAGCTTCAGAGCCGCAATTACATACATATCAACACGCTTGAGAGGCGATAAGCAGCCGAATGCACAGCGCTCATATCTTCCGCTCCAATCGCATTTCTCCTTCCTGTCACTGGTTTTCTCATCCTGCTCGTTAATTAGACCAAAGTCGAGCCGATTGTGGGGTTCAGAGGAGCAGAGCTTGTCTGAATTGAATCTCTGCCCTCATTTCTTGTGTCACATTTTTTCCTCCATCACTTTCATCTCAGGGCTTTGTAAACCTTTCTTTACACGTCACTCAATTCGTCTTTTTCATATCTTACGGAAATAAATTAAAAACACTTTGATGAAGCTCTTTTTGTCCAAACATATAATTTGTGTGTGAAGATGCAGAGAATCATGGTGGTGACCAAAACTGTCTGATTTTCAGGCTTTTAGCTCCTAACCTGGAAGTTACTAATTCAAAATGTAATACTTTTCCTGCACCAAGCAAAACGTGACCTTTTTCAGTGACGTTTAAATTTTAAAATAAAAATCGGAGGAAGAGGGAAAATACAAGCAGTTAAAAGAGAAAAACTATGTTCTGCAATTCTATCATTTCTATGCTTTTTTCATGCTACGAGAGAGAGCCAGACTTTCAGCAGATAACAAGAGGGCATAATTGTTTTTAACCCACAAAATATCATTATATACCAATCATGATATACATTATAGGCAACAAACTATATGCATATAAAGCAATACACCCAAAAATTTGCCTGTAGGATGGACTCCATTCCCCCGCCTGAGGTATTGCTGATCATGTGTAGTAACGACATCATGAAATGGTGAAAGTAAGCAGTAGGCAGAACACTGCAATTTCTAATCAATGTAGTGATCTACATTTTCAAAAGATGTACTGTCAATAGTTTTTTTTTTCTGATATCAAACAGCTTTAGCAAAGGAATATCTTATTCAAGCAGTCTTTAGTTGAAGCCGTTATTCTTTATAAACTAGTTCCAAACAATTGCAAACTTAGCTGAAGCGGGAGAGTTAAAAAAAATAGATGCTGATAAATATATGAATATGAATTTTTGAAAGATTGAAAAAAAGATAAAATTAATTATCAAAAACTCTCATCGGTGCATCACCACTTTTTTATTTTTGCAAAGAATTTAAACATGAATGAGTCACCTTCTTTGGCCTGGGTTGGGGCAGGAGTCTGAGTCTCCTTCGTGTAGGACACCGTTTCCCGCGGCGGGAAGTCCACCTGTGTGACTTTTGCCATTCCCAGCTTTGGAGCCACTCGCCTATAAAACACACAATAATTCAAACTTTGCACCAAGTTATTTTAAAGTTGGGAAGTCCTGAAAAAACTTCTTAAATTTCAATCATAATAAGAATATTGCAGCATTAAATTTTGCCACTGATACAATATCAACATGATTCATACATACTTTGATTTCTCATTTTGCAGAGTGTTAGAAAATGCTTGATAAGAGCTATTTATCAGAGAACAGTAAACAACAACAGGTATGAAAGCAACCAATCCATCTATTATTAATCAGTGGATTACATACATTTCAAAGAGAAGCAGTTTTATTATCAGCAGGCTGAAAGCAGAGATTTCTGATGCAGCCGATATATTTTCAGATAGACTGCTTTCTGACATCAACATTGGATCAGGTCATCCCTAGTTTAACATCCTCACTCTATTTTGTAACAGTTCTCACCCAATTCAGACAAACTCTTCATCTAATTTAAAACATTAATCCTTTTTGGTACAGTGAAGATAATCGATTAGTTCTTTTATTTGCAGCATCTAAATCTGACCTTTTCAACATGCATAATGTCACTTTCTCCTGGACTGAATCGACTTTACTCTTACTGAACACTAAAGTAATCATGCCATAGATTGAGAGAAAGGAAAATGACCAGGAAAGGAGAGAAGAGAGTGTCCAGTACCCCAGCTCAGAATCAGAGTGAAGTTGAAGAGTGGACGGGTCAGAGTCCCAGTGCAGAGTCCTGATTAGTGTCACAGCAACAAGGCAGCATTAGTGACAGACAGACAGACAGACAGACGAGCACAATGAGGAAAACAGCTGATGTTAGCATCATGGCACAGATCATGCTGATTGAACCGGTTGAACACTTTCATTGAAACATTAACTTTCAATTTTAGATTTAATATGCCAGCAAAAAAATAAAATAAAACAGGAACTTTGTCACACCAAAGGCTCTGACTGTTGTTTAGCCAGAGAGGTGGTGAAGGTGGTGGGGGGCCCTGAGAGAGAAAACATGACCTCCATGTGTGTAGGAAATGGCCATGCTGGTGAGGGAAATGAGTCAACACGTAGCGGGAACAGCTCACAGTGCCTGATGGGACACTGGGGGAGCTTGAGTTTCAGCTCAGGGAAGGGGGCTCTAATTAGGGGTTAAGAAGTCCCCCAGGCATCACAGCAACCCGCTGTTTCATTGTTAATTTGGGAGCGTTCTAATTCAGAGGCACATAAAAAGAAATAAACATGTCCTCAGTTAGCATAAATGTGTCATCACTCACTACAGCAGTGGCAGATCTAATCTGAGCTTGAGCTCAGCTTTTGGCTTTTCTGGCATCTGTAACCTTTATGTTGCAGTAAAGCATAGCAACAGGCACATAAAGGCAAAAGGGATAAAAAGAATGAACTGAACTTGGCATATTTAACTGAAAACATATATGCAGTAACATGCATCTGTTTCTGTCTCAAAGCAGAAAGGAGAAAAAAGTATATTAACTTTTATTAGAGATGTACTAAAGCCATAAGTAGAATGTGTTTCCTAAATAAATGAATCCAGGAGGATCTCCACACTTGTAATTCCCTGTGCTGTGCTGTGGTTTGGACTCTAGCTGAGGGATTTTTGGGTGTGTTTGGGGTTACCTGGGTCCCACGGCTCCATCAGAGTCCTGGCTGCCTGCCTCACTTGGAGTTCCTGCTGATTTGGCAGTAGGAGATGTAGGAGGAGGGACTATATTAGAAAAAAAAAAGAGAGGATAAAAGTTTATCAGCAAAAGCTGCTCAACAGTTGCTAAACAGTTGTTGTGTTTGTGTTACAAGAAGCTAAAAAATACAGGAAGACATTTTAACTCATAAAGGTAGATTTAAGGACTGCATCCTAAATGTGTAAAACATGGAATTCAGCAGCAAAGTATAACAAATATCTGCACACATAAATAAAACTGGATCTCAATTAAACATAAACAGTAAAACATTTATACATCCAATAAATACTAACCTATCAACGCTTAAACAATAAAAAAACTCCATGACCATAGAGCTGTTGCTTCATTTTTATGGCAGAAATGCCAATAAGCTTCACCCTTCACTTTCCAATGGATCTCTACTGCCACCTAATGTTAATATGTGGGTATTACTCTGAAATTCGTACAGGGAAAGATTAGACATGTTTTTTTTTTTTTTATAAGCATTTTCTTCTAGATAAGGGGTCAACCTGTAGCCCTAGAGCCCCTTAACAGCGGCACTTACCAATTCTGAGCAAAAAAGTGAGCAACGATTGGAAACATAAAGGGAACGGTTCCTTCAATTCAGCACATCATTTTCACCACTGAATGAAACTATTGGAACATGGGAATTTATTTGTTCACTCCTTCTTTTGCAGTTCAGCTGAAATCTAAGTGTTTAATTTGTAAGAATGGCCTACCTTTTTGCTTTATTCTTCGATATGAAAATCCTAAATTATATAGATATATCCTTTATTTTTTATAATGTCAAGTTCTATTTAAAGCTTTTAGAAAATTCAATAAGTATATTTCATTCCTGAGGTTAAAGTTGGTTTTGTAAGGAGCAAAAACATCAAATGTTGCCGAATTTTATCATGCTGACTTAAAAAAAAAAAACTATAAATAAAAATGATATGCAGATCTATAAAAAATTAATCACTGCAACACACCAACATGCATTTGTGATCTAAAACAAAATGCAAAACAGTTTTTAGACATTTCTTTAAAGTTTGAGCGCTAATATATTTATTTTCCCTTGGTATTTTTTACCAAGCTATATCAAAACTGTTCAGTGAGAAGAAGTGAACTTGTAGAGATTAAAGTTTTTTTTCCTCTTTTATACTTTCTTGCAGCATTACTTACATTTTAAACACCATCTACCAGCTATCTGCTATTTTCTGTCTGTTTTATCCTGGAGATCTGATGGAATCAGCAGCAGGTTTCAGGTTTCAGAAAGTATGGATATATTTGATAAGAAATTATTTAAATTCTTTCTACATGAAGGTAGATGCACATATATTCTAAATAGCATTATGTTCTCCATCCATCCATCCATCCATCTTCCTCCGCTTATCCGGGGTCGGGTCGCGGGGGCAGCAGCTTAAGAAGGGAGGCCCAGACTTCCCTCTCCCCCGCCACTTCTTCTAGCCCCTCAGGAGGAACCCCTTATGTTCTGATATATATATATTATTGCCCAAAAATTGATTTATATAAAATGATAAAAATTCATAGTATGGAACCAAAATCAGCTGGTTTAACATTAATAATATCCAAAACTATTGTCCTTCAAAGGATTCAACCAGAGAAGCTCTCTGAGTTTTAGATCGGATTGCAGTCAATTCCAAAATTTGGAAAACTGAAATAATTTCTTTTAGCAGGATAGTCAATGCATGGTGTCACAAAGAACAGATCATTTATAGGACCTAAATATATTGAGTGTTGAAGGAGCTGTTTAATATGAGGGCTTTGATTGCTGATTTATGAAGTGAATATAACTTCACCCTGCATTTCAAGTTACAGTAATTGCAAACTATTCTAAGGAGGAATAAGTGAGAAATTACCAATAAAATAAAAAAATGATTTTCAGAGTTACCAAAACTGAGTGCAGCATTTGGCATTATATGTTCGTAAAAGAGCAGCAGCCTGCAAGCATTGAGGCCAGTATGAGAAGCACACCTGAAATAGTGTCAACATACCCAAAGAGGCTTCTGCGTCCTTCAGGAGAGTTTGCGTAACAATTGGCTGAATTGTCTTCACTTGTCATCTGAAATTTAGCTTTTCCGCATCGTCTTCTCTATTAACCGGCACCACATTCTCTAAATTTTGGGGGCCAATGTGATTTGTGCTGTCTCATTGTTACATTTATCAGAATTAAATTATGGTAAAAATCTGGAAACCTTCAATACCATTTTTAACCCAATGTCATACAACTAGGGAGTTTCTCTGCTCAGGAGTCATACCAGAGCTGCGGTGAGACAGATAGCCACAGTAGCAGCCATTCAAAATGGCCTTTCCCAGTCAATCACTAGCTGAATGGCAGCCCACTTCCCTGCAACTCCTAGCAAGATCCCCAAAACTTCCAGCCACTGGAGTGACCCCTGCTTCTCCTGGGCATGCATATTGGTTTTACTCTGACTCCACCCTTTCACTGAATTACAGTCCACAAATCATGAAAGAAAGATATATTTTAGTACAAAGATTAATGGACTGATGAACGGCTACTACGGTACTACTACTTTTTCCCTACAGCCACTAGTACAAACTGGCTAAAGGAACCCATATAAAAGTTATCACATTTTATTTGCCGTTGGGATGAATTAAGTCTTTTTTTATGTTAAACTTAGTTTCCCATATATAAACTTCATCTTCTCTTTTTGACTTTGCCATCCTGGATAACGAGGGTACTTTTGCAAACTTTCCATTGATATTTAGAATGCATGTCTATATTTTAGTATGAAAATTGAGTTTGGACTGACTTTTAGGTATTGCATAATTTTCTTTAACCGATTTTAAGAATATAGTTAAGAAGAAACTAATAGGTTTAGCTTCATGTATTCCCTAAAAAAACGATTAGAAAAAGAGGAAATCCCAGCAGATAGATTCACACAGTCCAGCATCAGTTAAATACAAACATACCAACGGCAGCATCAGGGGTTATCCCCACACTTTGGAGAAGAGCCTCAGCTTCTCGTCTCTTTTTCTCCAGGTCAGAGTCATCCTGCTGGATGGGAGCTTCTTTCAGCTGTTGTTCCGCCTGGAACAGAAAAACAGCGAGCATTAAGCACTATTTCAGAAACTCTTGACAAAGACCTTTAGGTTTTGTTTTAGTGTCTTTAAGATCTAGCTCTGAAGAAAGTGCACCGTTTAATTCAAATTATAGAGTAAAAGCCTAAGTGATTAGCTGCTCAATTTGAACTAAAACCGCTTCAGACAAGAAACGGAAATAGGCAACTGCAACAAGACTGAGCTGAACCTCAGTTACAGCAGAAAGTACTTTGGAAGAAATATTTCTTAAGATTTCAAAGCTTTTGAGAATTTATCTTAACCTAATTGGTTCACATGTTAACACATAAAAAATTGGTAACGTTGGTTTAAAAACAAATAAATGAATTTTATAAAATTTAAGTGAACTTGCATTAAAATATGTTCCATTTCACTTAGATCCAGTGCCAAACCATGATAAATGTTCCTGTAAAATTAGACGTACCTTCTTGCGCTCCTCCTCCTTCCTTCTCTTCTCCTCCCTGATCTGCGCTAACCGTTGCTTCTTCCTCTCCAGTTCCGCTTTCAGCTCACTTTTGTCAGACATGATGTCACTCTGCGTCCTCTGTGTTTTCTACAGCAGCTATGTTTGTGAAATGTTTCAGAAAAATACACATATATAAATTGTGAGAAATATTTCAGCAGCAATGGTAGGCATCAATATTTTAAACACTCATCAGTTTTTTCTTTTTAAATCAGAGCTATGCAGGTCTTAGCACAGCCCTTAGCGTAACAATGTCTTCCTTGTAATCATTTTAACTGCTCCTGAGATACAATGCAGTACTGCAACAAAATTATAACAATCTGAACTTAAAACAAATATCTTTGCATAAATAAAATGTTAGAACCACTGAAGAGATCTAATAAAGTGATTTACTTCAAGTTATAACTACAAAACTTTTGCTTGAATGGAAATATTTCAATCTTTCATTTATTCGCTCCCTTATATTTTGCTTTGTGATAAAATGGTTAATGCATTGTACTTATATAAATCCTTTATTAAGTTAGGGTAATCCAAACATACACTTTACCCTCCTGAGCATAGTGAATAGGCAGTACAGTGCAGGTGTCTTTCCTAATGACAAAGCAAGCCTCATATGGGGCTTATATTCACTATCCTTTGGTTTCAGCACCATCTCCTGCAACTAAAACCACTGTTGCCCCTTTATATTAAAAGAAATTACCACATCTTTTTGGGGGGTTTTCAAATGATTTTTTGATAGTAGTTGCTTTTATTGAACAGTGGTTTGATAGAAGGGAGGGAAAGAAAATGTGGATATTAGAGCGGCGACTAATAATTATTTTGCTGGTCAATCTGTCAAATATTTTTTTGATTAACTGATTAATTATTAGACGGCAAATGATGCTTTAAAGATTATATACAGAATTTAAAACAAGTGAAGCTTAAACTATGGCACTTAACAGGTTATAAAAAAAAAAATCTATTGATCACTAAATTACTTCAATATCGATTAATTAGGATTAATTATTTCAGGTCTAGATAAGAAGAAGGAAAAGGAAAAAGACTGGGAATCTAACCCAGCACAGCAAGATCTAGGACTGGAGCCCATAAAAAGCCATAAAAAAGAAAATAGAGAAGAAAACAACAACAAATCAATAATACTCAATGTGTTTTGGGTTTTTGTTCTTTGTTTTTTTTTTTAAACAAACATTTTTATAAACTAAAACAAGCACCCCTGGTTGTGTTCAGATGAAATCTGACCCAGGTGAGTCTGCCTCGAGGATTCTAACACATCATCAACAGTGAAAACTTGAATAACTAAGAATGGTGATCACCAATTCTAAGGATTTTCTTTTTATACGTTTTAGTCAGTGTGTGACACCTACGGTGTTTCATGTCAAAACTACCATATGAAATAAATGGGAATCCAGATTATGCTGAGAAACCATGCCCATACAATCCCAAAGCAACACAGACACTATTTGCCAAGCAGAGTAACGGGTGTCTCATAGATGTGAGAAACCTATTGGTTGGAGGACCTTAAGTTAGCACGGAGGTTGTGCAATGTGGTGGAAATATCTTTACATATAAGCCTTTGATATCAGTCGATATCAGCTTCAGCATTTGCCTTACTATTATCCCATGAGGAGGCACCTGCCAAAGAGACTGCCTCTCTTCCCAGGAAGATTGTGGCATATAGTAATTGTATGCGTTCATGGTCACTGTCCTTAAATTTATTAGCCTCTCTAAGAACTTCAAGATTGTGAGATTGTTTCTCTCTCTACATGTTTCCTCATCTAGTTTCAGCTCTCTCTTATGATTCTCCAAACCTGACCAAAGCCAGGAAAAATACATGTCACTGATGCAGACTCACACTGAGTAACAGGCGCTCAGAGAGAGAGCACAGAGACAGAGAGCACAGAGACAGAGAGCACAGCCTTTAAAGGCAGGGGTGAAATGGCAATATGGGTTCCAGAGGACCCCCAAAAAGACTGTGTTTCAAGTTAAAACATAAACCTGAGGAGAACTCCTGTACTGGGGTAATCATTTGTAAAGCCATAAAACATACAAGTAGTATAATGAAAATAATCTCAATAAGCCAATAATTCAAGTGACAAACTGAAAAGCAGAAGACAGCAAAACCCTGACAGGAATTGGAGGGGGGGACAAGGGATTAAACATGATAAACTGATCACTTTAGTAACAGAATAACACTAAAAAGTACAGATTCTAATATGACAGCTGAGAGACCAACCCAATCAAAGCAATTTAATTGCAGCAAAAGTGGACAAAAATGTATTAGTATGTATTATAGGTGATATTAAGACTTCTTTCTTAATATTTTATATCCTTAATTCTGCAACTGATATAGTTTTATCTTCACCTGGTTCAAATTCTGTGGAAAAAAAGAAGCTAATTTTGCAACAAAAATATCAATGAGATAAAAGAAAGAATATTCAACTAATAAAAACAATTAGCAACATAATCATTAGTTTAAGCCCTAAAAAATAATAACATTGATTATTGATTGTATGACTGGAAGCTTTAAAGGATTCTTTTGACAATATATTTGCTTTTCTTTTGGTGTGTTTTTATTTTAAATATGTCTAAAGAAAATAAAAAAAAATAAATCTCCTGTATGGAGATATACTTATTTAAAAGTAAAATAATAAACTGTGGATCTAAAAGTGGTTTCTCATTTGAAAGTAAACATATTTTTAAGGTTATTTATAATGCATTTATGGGATCTTTAGTATATTTTGCAAAAACTTTAAGAGCTGTTGTAAGCATGTAATGAAAATGAAAATAGCCTTCATCCAACAAGGTGTGCTGATGAAGATTCTCAGTCATCCAGGTCATAGTCATTCCAAAAGAGTTAAAAATCAAACCACTGGACTTTGTTTCCAAGTTTGAAGAAGTTTCGCTTCCCACCCAGGAAGCTTTTTCAATTCAACATTTTTTTAAATAATTTTTTTCCTCATACTTCCCTATTTCCTAAAATAAATCCTTAAATCTGCAACAAAAATCTTTTTTTTTTTTACAAATGTATCGAATGTGCTTACCAATAATTGACACAGCACAATACCTTTGGACATAATAAAATATGTAAACATTAGACAGCTCTAATAGCAGAAATAAGCCTGTCTGCACAGATCACCTGTCAGAAATGGCAATTAATTTTAGCTAAGACACCTAATTAGAATGCCAAATCAAACAACACAAGAAACCCTAAACCGCTTACTCAGCGCGATATTTCAAAAAAGTTGTAAAGGTAGGAATAAAAGCAAAACAATAAACTATTTTCGCCCCAAACTACCTCTTTTGTCACTGTCCACTCATTGTCATCAGGCTAACAGAGCCCCACCCTAGAGCTACTACCATGTCTGCGTACCATTTTAGCTTTAATCCGACTCTATTCTTTTTAGTGATCGTCATCATAACACTTATAAAATAAAAATCACAACTTTCACAACTTTGAAACTTAAAGCCAACTTATAAAAGCCGAAATTAAACGACAAAACGGACTATTTACTTTGGCTAGCAATAGCCTTCCTTATTAATCAAAATTAGCCACGTAGCTACAGAAATCATCCTTCACAACTAAATAGTAACACAAGTAAAAAAAAAAAAAAAAAACTAAATATGTTTACATGTATGCCTTTATTGGTTTGTCACGGTAATGTTCAGTTTTTCTTGCAACAACCGTTTAACCAAAAGCTCAACCTGGAAGGACAGGGTTAGCTTAGATGCTAGTTAACCGGTAGACACGGTGCTGATGAGCTATGGCCGAATAATTGCTAGTTTTTAGGTTCACGCTGCTGGAAAAAAAGTGCAAGGGTTTGCAAAATTTTTTATAATTACTTTAATGGTGAAACTTGGGTAACAAACCTTGAAGCAGCCTTCCAACTTGACCACCAAACCTGTATCAACAAAACAATTGCCCTGCCAGCGCAACTACAGATACCGAAAAGGTCCAAAAGAGTAAATAAACAGTAAAGCGATTAACGACAGGTGCAAAGTAAAAAAAGAAGAAAGAAAATATTCTCTATTATTATTTGATACTCACTTCTACACAAATGTTTTAAACAGCAGGATTTATAATTTTACTTGAGTAATAAACATTAACACTTTTGACACCTCTGCTATGAGGTGTATTCCTGCTTGTGCTACTGCCTTGCACAAAGTGCATGTAAGAAAAGGAAAACACAAACCTGTGTCCTAAACCTTCTGTTTTATTTCAGATATACAGCTAAATGACTGAAACCTCAGACACAGTTGGATGGTTATCAAGTCATTTATCCCAAACAGACATCCAACAGGGTCTCTGTACAGATAAATCAGGTTAACATCAGGGCTCCTTTGATGCTTTGACCTCAATTACACTTAAAATGTATAGGCTATGCATAAAGGTTCTGTGTGTAATTAAAAAATTGGTCAAAAATTCTGTCATAGAAATAAGGAGAGGCCAGACATTGCTTTTTATCTTATTGATCATATAATCATGCAATATTCTAATTTCCTGAGACACTAAACTTCAGGTTTTCAAGCAAGCCTAAATAATATGGTCACAAGAATATATTTTACTCCACTACTATTGAATCTATGAGAGTTTCTGTTTCTAAAATGAGTGACTCAAAAATACTTTTCCATGATATTCTAACATTTTGGGATGAACCTCTAAGGGGTGCGTCGTATCAGGCTGGAAAATATGGAGTGTTTCCTAAACATTAGATTTTTGGTTAAAACTATTAAAATTTCAGCTTCTAAACAATCTCTAATTACTAATTAAGAATAATCAGGCTGAACTATGATAGTTTCAGAAGAGCAGGAAACCTAAGTCTCAACTGTTAATGCATAATATTTATAAAGGGAAACATTCAATAGATAAAATGTTCCACTGCAGAGACAAAAAGAATGAGAGATAAAGAAAACATACAACCTTAAGCAAAAGATGTACAAAATTTATTATAAACATGGTCGTAAGCAAATAAGTAAATAAATTCACTTACCTACATTTGGGTAAAGAACAAAAAAGGCAGGTTTTACAGTGTATACCAGCATCTGTTTCAATATCAGCTTCCAAGTTCTGTTCCAAAAGAGCCCAACCATATTTACATATGCTTGCATCAACAAATGTTAGGGTTAAATATAAAAAATATTACTTAAAGAGTACAAAAAAATTATATATTTACCTTTCCTGAATAACATATGCTAGTTTATCTATACATTGTTCATTATTAAGGTTTGTACGTATAATCTTTAGTGTTAGACCCTTAAGATGGCCTCAGATCTTATAACTATTTTGCTTCATTTAAAAGGAGCTTCCAAGTTGTACAGACGTATCTCGACACAAAATAATACTGTGCAAAAGTCTTCAAACACCTCTTCTGTCTTGAATCTTGGTTTTAAAAAAGATGGGTTCTAGTTCTTTTTATATTTTACTAGAAGAAAATAGTTCCTAACCACACACGATGATTTCTATTTTTTTTAGCTTTGTTTTACAATTATTTGTAATTTTTCCACATAAAATGCACCTTACAGAATGGAGAGAAAATGCAGTCTTCACATGACCAGAAATCTAGCAAAAAACACCCAATGTGTCAAAAAAACAAAAACAAAAGGCAAATAGGTCTTTGAAGGCCTCCTAAGGAAAGTAAAACAAGGATGAGAAGGACAGATCACGTAATCCTTCAATATTTAAGAAAGCTTCCTGCCCCTATTGTATCGGTTTCCATGATGCCTAGCCTTCAACCAGCTGAAGAACTACTATGTATAAATATCAGTTCACATCTACATAGAAAAACTGATTCACTTCAGAGCTATTGCTAAGGCAGTAAAATATGAAATACAGGAAGAAAAAACAAAACGTCAAAACAAAACAGACAATAATCAGGTATATTTTGGTATCTGCAGAGGTTCAACCACAACATTATCAATCAGTGTTATCTTGACTGGTAAACAAGTCAGTCAGTGTGAAAACCATGAAAACGTAAAGTGTTTTTTTTTTTTTTTTAGAAATTTGCAGCTGTTTTAATAGATTTTTTTCCAGACAGGATGAGGGACATTTCAAGATTTTTGCACATTTCCTTTTTTTTTTTTTTTTTCCATTTTAGCTTAGGTGTCTGATTTACTATTCCTCTTCCTGACATCTCCATCAACCTGAGAATTGGCTCCATCTCCCAGTTCCGACAATGCTGGACCAACTTTGCTGTTATCCTCACTTCCACTGTTGGTATGCAGAGAATGCAGGATCTGTTCACTGGGGCGTTTCCATGGCGTTCGAGTGGCAATCCAGAGGATAAGAGCCCCAAAAACAACCAGCAGGACTCCTAGAACATTTACAAAGATCGCTTCTGGAGGAGAGTCCTTATACTTAGGGTTACTCCTGTAGTATACAAAAAAACAAAAACATAAGTTATTTTATCAAAAAAAACATTCATACATAGAATTAATGTATTTATATTTTCATAAAAACTTACAGGCCAAAGATGAGTTTCTCTGTAATTCCCATGAGAGCAACTGCTATAACACTGGTGAAAAGAAAAAGACCGCTGTAGACATGGATTGGCATAAAAGCTGCTCTCCAAGACACAGGTGTAACTGGTATCAGGTATAGGCCGATTCCCAGAACAAGCTGCCCATTCATGAAGGAGAGGGAGAAAAAAAAACAAGATTATCAAGGCTTCAGTCATGAAATTTTTTTTTTTTTTTTTAACCATGACTTTGGGTTACAGACATGACAAATAAAAGCAAAAGACAAAGATCATCAAGAACTGAAAAAGTATATCAAAAGCATCAAAATCAGGTATTTTTAACAAGTTAGGAAATGATAAAGAGGTCTATTTACCTGCAGACCATATAGTATGACTGCTGTCAGGCCCAGCCAGCTGTGCAGACTGTACATGTTGGGGATTTTGGCAGCGTTGTGGAAGTCAAACACTGCCACCATGGAAATAATGGCCAAAATGAAGGCTGTTAAGTTCAAACCTGCGTGGATGAACTTCATCACCAGTTTGCTGCATCGCCAGGTCCAGGGAAGCCTGTAGACAATGATGGCTGCAAGAGGAGATCAGTGGATCTGTTAATGTCGGTAATCACATGACCATTAAAACAGCTGACTCATGTGGCTAGATCCTAGCTGGACTAAGTTACACATTTTTAAGGTTATAGCATAACATGTTGCCTGCTGATAAATCAGACATTGAAGTATTTAAAACCATTGGACCTCAATGTATTCTTTTCAGACATATGTCATTGTAAAACAGAGAAGCATTACAATTTAACAAAAGGAAAAGGATGCAGGTACATTTTGCTGCATTTGCAGATTTCTGCCAATTCTTTGCAAAATACCTCTAAGATCAATGCGATTGGAAATAGTCTCTAAATATAAATGTTCAAGTGTAGCCAAATAATGTATAGATCTTTACTTTGACTACACTAGGCCGTTGTTATCTTTTATCTCAATCACTCATTTGCATCATCTGTGCTTTTATGGCTGTTGTCAAACCTTTTACATGGATCTTCTAGGGTTGATCTGTATTACCAAACTTTTTTTTTTTCTCTCTCTTTTAACTTAAACCAGCTTTGTTTAAACCAGCATTTGGAAAATGCAGCTAGTTTTCTGCCACACACTGCACTCTTATCTCACCCAAAATCTTCATTCCAAAGGGTTGGAATCCCTCCTCAACTCTTCCAGATGTTGCTAGTCTCCTAGGTGTTTTTTTTTTTAGCACTGTGGTCAAGACTTTCTGCTTGCCACTCTTCCATAAACAGCAGATTTAGAAGTACATAACTTCTGATGAAAAGTGCTTTATAAGATTTTCACACTTTAACCTTACTCAGATGGAACACCTAAACTACATCTTTCCTGACCTGACTGCTGGTTTTCTTGGTGTTCATGATTCTGTTACTTCACTAGTGTTCCCCAAACAAACGCTTATTTTTTTTTAACTTGTAATCGTTAAACTGGGTTTAAGTTTATCTAAAATTAAGCAGGGGCTCAACAAAATGCTTGCAACAATTTTCATATCCTCTTCCTCCAATTTCAGCGTTATGTTGGACTTTTTTTGTTGACATATCCCATCTAAAGTGGCTAAATAATGACATTTATAGCGAAAACAGAAGGAAAAAGTTCAACACCTCCCTCCTCACTGGGATTCTTCAGAATAAACAGTCTTTTTTAACTTGGCTTCTCATAGTAAAACAGCAACATTCCTGGAAGGAAAGCGTTCATCTCACCAATGCCCTGCAGGAAAATGAAGCCTGTAACGATCAGCACCGGATGCCAGTTGAACTCAGCCAGTCCTCCGTCCCAGGCCAGGCCTTCCTTAAAGTGGAGAACCCATCTCAGCACAAATATTACGGCGACAAACCCGACGGCTGCGGCTCCAGACAAGGCGAACAGGAACTGTTTCTTATTCTCCATCGCCGCTATCGAGCCAGAAGATCAACAGCAGCAGGATGGAGAGGGGGATGAGCAGCAGGGAGAAGGAGCGTCTGCACGGCAGCAGCTGTTTTCAAACATCCCCAAACTATTTCAAGTGTGGAGGCTGGAGTAGGTGGTCACGTGACAGGGCGCTACGCAACATTTTCAGAGAGGTTTGGTAACTTCAGCCGTTACAAAAGCGACCGAACCTCACATTTATGCTGTGTCATCCTCTGACCTCAGCTTAGCACTTAGCCTTTAAGTGTTTTTCTCTTTTTGCTGTCGACCACAGGCTCGAATGAGTCAAACCTGAATGATATAACTTTTGGAGAAGCAGTTAAAAGCCATTATTAAGGCAAGTTTGTAGGGGCCATATGGCTCTCTGCCCGGGGCGATATGAAATGGGGGCGTTATTAGCTTAGGGTGGCCAGACCTCCTTTTTTACCCCGGACATTTCCACTTTTTATACCAAAAAAAATGTCCGTCTGGGATTTTGGTCGACTACAGTGCAGCAGAAGCTTTCAGGTCATGTGACCTACTGACTCAACTTGTTTGTGCATCTGTTTCACTACATTAGTCTGATGAAGCACACTCGTTTTTATTCCATTTTAAGCCTTTGATTATTTTAAAAGATTTTTTATAATAAAAAAAACTACGATACAGTGTTAGATATACTAGATATACTGTTATATATACTGTAAGATATAAATCAATAGCTTCCAGGTCATGTGACCCGCTGACTCCAAATCTGTGTCAAATTGTTCTACTACTTTAGCCTGATGAAGCACATTCATTTATATTCATTTTAAGCCTTCTATTTTATTCAATAAAAAACAAACTGTCCTCCTTTTGAGAAACCCAAATCTGGTCACCCTATATTGGATGTAATGAAATAAAAGGATTCTTATGTTGGCTCTTGCGCTTCCAATAGGGCTTGGTCGTCATGACGTAAGCACTTTGCGTTGCCGCCATATTGAGGCCTCTTT